ATATTGAACTTTTTGAAACAAAAGAAGTTAATTTTTAACTTTTTCGTTAACTATATTAACCGATAGCCGTAAAAGAGCCAAAATTTTAGCCGATAACCGTAAAAGCCACCACCCCATTGAGACCCTCTTTTTTCAAACCAAGTTTACAAGCCTGAAAGTCGGAAAATATCGCATTTTGGTTAATACCACCCAAACAACCCTTTAGGTGAACTATTTCAGGAAATGATATCAAGAAATCCTAAGGCACTTTACATTTTGAGAAATTTGGAAAAGTTCAATTTTTTTTATTCGCGAACTTGCCGCAAATTTCAACAATCTTCAAGGAAGCAGTACAAGCGCGCAAAAGCCCCTATTGACTTGATGTTGCACATACATTTACCAGTTGCCCAAGGCTTTAAGACTGCATAAAATGTCTTGCAAAATAACTTTAGTAATACAGTTTTTGGCTTTCATTGTTTTCACATTGATTGTGTGCTGTTTTGGGGGTCGAAATAACGCCCAACTTTAACCGCAAAAAAGTCAATTTTGGTGTGTCGAAAATTTAAAATATGATTAAACTACATGAAAGAAGTGTGATTCTTTTAATTAGACCTGAAGTTTTAGCTCTATGAATTAAAACGCTTGCGAATAATAAAATTTTAAATAGAGCCCCTAGAGCCACCGTAAGCGACATGAACGTGAAATGTAAACAAAGCGAAAACCGTGTAAACAAAGGAGAAAATCAAACCAAAGTGAGTCCAGCCCACCAAATCACAAAGAGATGATGGAAATTTAGGTATCTGGGCGAAATCTCTGCGTTTGCGGAAGACAACAAGATCAAGAGCTTTTTTAGTGAATAGGAAATAAAGTTTAACCATTTCTTATGGCCAAGATTACACAAAAAAGAAAATTTTCCGAGTTTTCCTTTGATTCAATTATTGAAAGGTTCACGTCATATGCCCAAAAACTTTTAGTTTTATTTGACAATCGATGAATGTACGTTGCCGCGCCAAAAAAATTTAATAAATAAAATTATACCATGGACAAAAGTGCACCACGACAAACACAATAGCGTGACTGCATGACGTCAGCAGGTCAAAGGTTTCTGATTGGTTCAAACGTGCATAAATTTAAAAAATTTACAAATGCAGACCTGGATGACTCACGACTTACATGCAGACTTACATTTAAGCCGTTAAAACAGTTTCACTTTCGTGTCGTAATGCAAAATAACTGGACTTCCTAATTAGTCGGGAAATAAGTAAAGACTAAGTTTTTCTTCGAGAAACTGAAGAGTGTTCCACGGCTCAGGCAGCTGTTCCGCATCGAGATCGACACTACTTCCGGCACTGATTTGCACTTCACAAGCAGCAAATTTCTCAGGTCAATCTTGGATGTGAGAAGGCTGGACGACAATCACTCCTATCCGAGTATTTTTTCAAAAGTACACCTGTGAGACACTTCAAATCATTGGTACGTACGCGCCCTTTTCATCATAGGGAACCTAGGAGACATCACGACTCTCTCATTGTTTTCGATGTTACATTTTATCATCCATGTTGCCTTCTTTTTCAGCTACTGGGAATCACGTCAGGCAAAGGAAACCCATAGACACAAACTACATGTAACAGTAGAGACTGGCTTCACCGAGAGTTAGCAAGAGTTAGTTTAATAAAACAACAATCAAGTTCATTAATGTTGACGACAAGTTGCCTTCATTGTTCCAAGTTATATCCTGGGAACGACTGGTTATGCAATTGATCACACGTAATAAGCACCAGTACGGTTTATTTTAAACGGCCATATTTTTTTATTGCACAGTGTATAGCGGTAATTAGATAACGTTTAAATAACTGAGAATAGTTCTGAACTGGAAGTTCATTGGATGCATATCCTTTTCAGTTTTAAAATTCAGGAATTTAGCTTTTACCTCCTCGGCTGAGTAACATGAAATATTAATGAGATCAGAGACTGATTGAGGTGAATTTTTATTTTGCTGGGTTCACAGGGCACTTCCTTGTATGTTAACTCGTCTAGCAAAATAAAGAATAAAAATCAGAAGAGAAAGTTATTTGCTAGTTCTTGATGGCAATGATCTTATTGCATTTTTGACGTTATTTGCAACCCTTACATATTCTTTTACATTAGAGTCTGAAAATTAGCCTAATGAAGTCAAGGCAGTGTATATAACGGTCAGTCACCTTGCCATTTTCCCAAGGATTACCGTTCTTAAATTCGCGGTTTAGGAATGAATGTGTTAAAAAACCGATATTTTTGTTACTTTAAGTAATTTGACTCCCGTCACTTTAATGTTAGTCTACATGTCTAGGTTTAGATAGAACTCACATTTTATTGTCGTAGTACATAATCAGTCTGCTGTTCTCATGCTGACACAACATTCACATATTTAGGGCTAAGGACTTATACTGATTGTTTTCAAAAAGAATTATACATATTCTTTTATGACAGGTATTAGAAAATGGTATAAGACCTCGTGAAGATACCTTCGTTGAACCAGTCGACTCTCTCATGAGCAGTTTCGGAGTTTTGCTTAATTTCTTGAAATGTAAAGGATGTGATGACTGTTTCCGCAGTGGTCCGCATGAGGACTGCACACCATAAGCGTTACTCAAAAAGGTACATTGTTCACAGCGAAAGTTTTCGATGTGGCTAAAATACCCTGATCTATGGCATTTTTTTTTTCGTTGAACACATAGGTCTTTTCCTTCATTTTTGCTTGGCATAAAATCGCCATCAAACACTTCGCTGTTTCATACCGCCTCACGGCTTAGCACACACGAAAATCGTATCCGAATCCATCAATACACGGTCATCCACCTTTACACTGTTTTGCCAACTTTTGAAACAAAACGGCAGGCGAAAAATTATCGAAACCACTGGAAAATGAGCCTTGAAATCAATAACGTTTGCTAACTTTGATAGTGATATGTTGACAACCAACAAAGATATGGTTCAGCGAAAACACAAAATTGTACATGTGGACTAACGTAACGTCCGTCCATCGTATTAAAGGAGCTGTGTCACGGCAGTCCAGTTCATTTTGTTTAAGTTTGCCAATTACTCGCCCTCAATCGCTATGGAACTTAAAGTAAGCAAAGAAATTACATGTAAATGACAAAATCAGAGACCCGAGACAAATAAATATATCTCCTGAGCATTATTTTTGAAGTTGCAAGCAACAGGGATAAACTTTGAAAAACTGTTAGGCTGAACAGTTTTCAAAAATCCTAATTTCAATCCGTTTCAATCCTCTTCAGTTTTGCCCATCCGTGACATCTGTTGATTCTATTATGTTATTTTAACCTTCCTTTAAAGTTTTAAGCGGTTATTTTTATGTTTCTCTTAATTAAACGGACATTTTGTAATTTCCTAATTTGGCTGAATTTCGTGACACAGCTGCTTTAAACTTCTTCCTTGCCATCTCGTGTGGAACACCCTTATGAAATTCAGTAGCGCATTTGCGGAGATATATATTTGCTCGTTTCTAACAAATTTCCTCTCTAAAGCTGTTAAGTTCTCTTTTTAGTCGTGTCGACGGAGAAAAAGTTTCATTTGAAGAATTAACTGGCACAGAGTTTGACTTCACAAATCATAGCGAAATATATTGATCTGTCTATAAGCATTTGCCGGCCAAGTCGTGCAGCTCGGGCCTCGCAGCTTACACTCTTTTTTTTTTATAAGAATGTTGTTTTTCCGGCCCAGGCTGAATATTCCTATTTTTCTGCCGATTTTAGGCTGAAAATATTCTTGTATTATTCTTAAATTATAGCTTATGACATTTCCGTTTTAGAATTTATTGGGGTATATGTATATGTATTACATGTACCGTTCATCGAACTGTCATTAGCGTTGAACATTTTGCTATAGCTAGTGCAGGTTTTTTCGTTTTGTTGGCTAGTTTTGCCGTTCAGAGAAAGGAAAAATTTTATACGGTTAATTTAAAAACATAAAATTGTATTGTATTTACAGATGTTTCAACACACAGAATTATATCTATCCTTTTCAAAATGTTATTCTTAAAATATTCTTAAAATTTCGCAAATTTCAGCCTCGATATTCTTATAAAATATATTCTTATATATAAAAAAAAGAGTGTAAATGTTTAACGCCTGCTAAGACTCCTAGCGAAGCCACTTCAGTATCTCAGTCTTGTTTTTGCAATTTTCTAATAAAGGTGAAACATTAATACTGCAAACTTCTTCGATTCATATAAAAACAAGGTTGTAAGCGTTCACTCACCGATCCCTCATCCTTGTTGTTCTAGTAGAAGTACATAGCGTCCTTCTCTCGGTAGTCATACTCACAAAACCTTCAATCTGCAGCGTAACAATTAATTATTCTGCGAATGTGGCCAGAATCTAAGGCTTATGATTCCCTGTCTCTCCGTTTTCCGTTAAAACACCGATTTTTTAAGTGACCTATCGGCTTGGGATGTTATCGTTAGGAATTGAAGGCCAGCAATAACTACGAGACCTCAGTGCGCGAAATAAACAGGTCAATCAGCCTTTTCTGGTTGGCTGCGTAGGCTCTTTTGCGGTGTGAAACCGCCGGTCAAGTCAGAAGCCCGTGCCACGTGCGCCCCACGAGCGTTTTCCCCGACCGAATATTTTACGTGTTGCCTAACTTTTAGACTCGTTCCCATAGTAGCGTTTCGAAATTCGACCGAGATGCTTAGCGGTCAGTGATCAAGCTTTTACAGTGTTCATATTTCTTCCTAATCGTAACGCCTTCGCCTCGATTAATAAGAGAATCGATGACACAACCCACTATAATTTTGGTCTCGTACGATAGTTTCCGGTAGGACTACATGGAGAAAGTTCATACTCCGAGTTTGAATTTTATCGGAAGTAATGGCATCAAAGCGAAACACCTTCTCAATACTTTTGTTACCAAGACATTCCCGAATCATTTCACGATAGTTACAGGACTTTATGAGGAAATCCACGGGATCGTAGCAAATACGTTTTTCGATCCTGTTTTCAACGACACTTTCTACTTAGATGCCGTGTCAAAGCATTACTTGGATTCAAAATGGTGGAACGGAGAACCAGTGTGGATCACGAATCAAAAAAGCTTTTAAGAAAAGTGCTGTCGTGTTTTGGCCTGGTTCAGAGGTGAAAATAGAAGGCCAGTACCCTACACACTATTTACCCTATAATCGGTCACTTTCCTTCGAGAAACGAATAGATTATTTATGTACAATGTTAGAGCAGGATGATCCTCCAAGCTTTTTGGCCGCTTATTTTAACGAGCCAGATCACAGTGGGCATAAATTTGGCCCCAATTCACCAGAGATTAAAAGCATTATTCGCAGAATGGATAATGTCACTGGATATCTGTTGGAAAGTTTACGAAATCGAGGATTGTTGAATCAGGTAAGAAGATCTAAGCTTAAATAATAACCAAATGAATCAGTTTACTTTGAAAAGTTCACATCAGCTGACGACGATTGTTTCATCAATTAATTATGTACGCGATGATTAAGTTTATTTAAGCTTGATCACACTTTCGGTGTGTCAGCCGTCACGGAGCCCCTTCTCTCCTTGTTATTGTGGCCTGCTGGCCTGTTTTACAAACAAAACTAAATCCCTGTCTGCATGTCTGAGCACCGAAATTCTTGTTGTGGATCCCCTCGCAGGATTGGAGTTCATCGCATGTGCTATGATTGACCCGTAAAGAAGCCATTGTTGGATTAGCCAATCTGGTTGGTAATTCGTTGAGTCCATTGTGGTTCCAGAACAAGATCCCAGCTCTGCTTCACAGACCTCACTAGCTGGGTTTAGATTACATCAGTGATCCAGGATACTTTGTGCATGACTAGATCATACCCAATGACTGGGGTTATTCACTACTAAAGCCAATGATGATTCTCCATCAGATGTCAACACAATGCCACAATGGAAATTGTTTAGCTATTTTGGAAAAGATTGATGTTGATATGGTGGATTTTTTGTTCAGAATATTCCATTCACCCTTCCACTGATTCTGTTACCTCTGCGCCTGCATCTGCGATGCAAAAAAATCCGCAAAATAATTTGTGGCATGTGTCTCGTCTGACACGAAGGTAGATTGATTAATCTAAGGATGCTTTTGTAGAATATCCTGTTCGTGTTATTTCTGTGGCTGTTCTTGTGGCTACTTGGTAGCAATGAATATTGTTTTGTCTTTGTTGTGGTTTATAAAAGAAGGTAAACTACAATACAGAGTTTTGGAGTCAGATTACCTGTCTGCATGGTTACATAAAGTCCCAACTAAGGATTCTTTGTTTTTTCAACTCAGGGACTCTTTGGTTCTGGACTGAGACTCATGATTTTTCACAAGATGAGTCCCAGGGCCCACAACTATTTGTAACAAAATCACTGCACTCCTGGAAATTTTGCTGAAAAATGCCTTTTAGAGTTAGTTGGGCCATTTTCTGGGTGCTGTCCTCCAAAAAGGAGCAAAACTAGATGGGTGCTCTCACCACTGTGCCACACTTGCTCTCCAACTTTCATTTTAAAGACTGTTTAAATCTAGATGAGTTATAATAATAATGGCTGCAATAGTATGCATGCTCTGATTGGCTGCTAAGTAGGCATTACTTTCTTGTAAATTTGGCCGTGCAGTACTAGCTGGCTGTCCAAGACATAAAATCTGTGCTAAACTTGACAGGAGAAATCCTTATAGCCTGAGTATTAGGCCTTCCCCCAGAGATGCCTGATACTCAGGCTAAGATCCTTCTGGACATCCATGTAATAGTCAATTGACAGCTGTCAAATAGGGTATCCACTGACCAGTGTCACATGACTGTATCGTGGGGTCAAGTTTACAACTCACTGAAGTGCAGACATGTTTTTTTTACAGTTATCCACTGCTGTTTGTTTTAATTGATTGTAGGCTCAGGTCCATAATGAAAAGGCCTTATAATAATAACTTATTAACCTCGTCCATTCGGTCATTACAGGGAAATGTCAGACCTCAGTCTGAGATTTCCCTGGAAAGATCAACTGGACAAGGTTAATAAGTGGTAGTTATTGACTCTGGGGGAAGTCAGCACTCCAGGATTAATTGGGCCTAATATTATGTTGAACTTCATTCAGCCTCAGGGCTCAAATTAAACTGACTTCTTTTAGCCAGAACAGGGCTACTATAGGTCTCACAGCTGGTAAAAGCATGCGGGCATCTTTCTTTGTAGCGCATGCAAATTTTCAAATTTGAGTGTTTTTGTCAAAGGTGTGTGATGCTTGTAACAGCCATTCACTCTGATGAAGGCCAGTAAAGTTGGTCAAAATAGGTGAAGGACGAAAAAAACATACTGTTTTGCTCTTCATTTGTGGTACTGGATTTATTCAATTATGAAGAGAATGTCTTTTAGTAAACGCTTGTGATATGTTATATATATGTTAAGATGTAGTAACTCTTTGTGTGTCCTATAAGATTATCATTAGGTAACAACTGATGGATCTAAATATATTTCCATTGTATTTTTATGACCCATTTTAGGTAAACCTGATTATCACAAACAACCATGGCATGGCAGATGTCAACAACTTCCGTCTCATCCAGCTGGATTTTTACATTCCATCAGACTGGTATACACTCATCACTGATCCAAACAGGGAAGACCATGCTTCTAATGTGTTTTTTCATATTCTACCCAAGAAAGGAAAGTTGAATGACACTTACCAAAAGCTCAAGACTGTTCCACGTCTATATACATACCTTAAAGAAGAAATACCTGAAGAGTTTCATTACAGGCATAACCGTCGTCTCATGCCGATTTTCATTGTCGCAGAAGAAGGATGGACCATTACAAAAAACAAGTCGAGAATAGACAGTCGTGGTAACCATGGCTACAGTAACCAATTCCCTGATATGCACCCCTTTTTTCTTGCCCAAGGACCTGCATTCAAAGAAGGCTTTGTTTCAGAACCATTTGAAAATGTGAATGTATACTCTCTTATGTGTCATTTACTGGGCATTAAACCAGCGCCAAACAATGGCTAATTACAAGCAGTGCAGCATCTGCTAAAAGAACACAAACACGATTATAAAGTGTTGATTGTAGTCAGTGTAATTTCTGTTTTAGTTCTTTTGTTAATGACTTATGGTATTGTCTCATTTAAAGTCAAAAATCATTGTAGAATAAGGCAGTATGGGCATATATATGACTTAGGAACATCAGAATTGTTTGATTTGTAGACACTTCCATGTCGGGTAAAGGGGCTGTGTCACAGTTTTCTACTTCATTTTGCTAATATTGCAAATATTAAACGTCCTTACTCAGGATGGAACTTAGCTTCAATGACAAAATTACTGGTAGATTACAAAATTACAGCTTTAAGTTGAACTGGATATGTCTCCTGGTCAAAAATAATTATTTTGTTACAGACAACAAAACATTATTCAACAGAAAATAAGGCTAAGAAGGTACGACGTCCGTAAAATCGAAGGCTTCCAATTTCATGGTAATTTGCATAATGTTGATTAGAAGGGTTTGTATAAGATCTTAAAAATTCGTTTACGGTTGTTATAGCCTGAATCTCTTCTTTATACTTTATGAAAATAATCTCAGTACAAATGTCCTTAATAAAGTATATTTTCGCTGTGGAAAACTGCCCCTTTGTAGTGGCGTTTACAACAGTTTCAAGTGGGCAAAAATCCCATACATTCACTGTAATTTTAGCTACGTTTTGGGCCCCAGCCAAGATGGCGTCATAAATAGTGAAAAGGTCTATTAAGTACTGCACAAGTGCGGCAGAAGCTGTGTCATTATTCTATATTGGAGCACCAGGTGATCCATGCTGCGCTTAGCTTGTTCCAGGCCTTCAGATAGTGGAGTACAGCACTGTCCCCACGATCTGAACACCTGGAACAGGCTATACGGCGCTCTTCTCATGTGCCGAACTAAATGCATACATTATGGTCATTACGATAATTTCTAAATTGTCCCATAACCAACTCCGAAGGTTTGGCTCAACACACAGTACGCCACCAGAATAAGATGTCGCGCCAATGTTGTTCTAAAGTCGAACCTAATTGAATTAGGTTCGGCACATGAGTGGAGCGGCATCTGAACCGGGCCTAAGCTTACTACACACTAGCCTGATTCTCAGACGGTCTGACTTGCTTGCTCTCACTTTGTTAAAAGTGAAAATCATTATTGCTATTCCCTGCCACTGAGTTAGCTGGTGTCACACAGCAGACAGATGGACTGACTAGATCTTCTTGATTTTCCTATTTTAAAACTTGGTAAAGACAAAAAATAACATTTTAAAAGTGTGGATAATACTCACTTGGAGAATAGATGCATATACAGACGTGTGTGCAATACATACATACATACATAACATACATAAAACTTTATTTAAACTCGAATTTTAGAGTAGCTAAACACGCTAATATCTTCGAGCTGACACAAAATAAAAACTATATAGAAAATATATATATATATACATTAAATGCAAGGAAAGAAAAATATCATTTACAATTCACAATTTTAAGTTTAAGTATGTCAGGCAAAAAGAATCTACATGAAGGTAACATCCTGTATTTTAGTCTTAAAGTCTGCAAAAAAACTGGTACGAAAAAAGTCCGGCAGTGCATTCCACTGTTTAGCTGAAAAGTAAGAAAAGGAGTTAAGGCCATAGGTAGTTGTTTTAGGTTTACTTAGTGAAAGAATGTAGTTGCCACGAAGATCATAGGAAGAGGACCGGAGTGAAAACATATTCTTCATATAAGTAGGAAAATGAGTGAAAAACAAACTCTTATATAACAGAATGAGGAAATTTTGAATGCGTTTGTTAAACAAAGAAGTAGAGCTGACTTTTGAGAGAAGAGTGTTGTATGGAGACGAGTAATCTCCAAGTATAAATCTAAGTATTCTTTTATTTAAAGCTTCGAGCTTATCCGCATCGCGCGCTCCACAAAAGTGCCAGACAGAGGAGCAATAATAAAAGTGAGGTAAAATATACGCTTTGTAAAGTTTGAATAAGATTTCCTTGCGTATGAGTTTTCTAAAGCGCAACATAACATTAAACTGATTATTAATCTTTTTGCATACATTTGATATATGTTTAGAAAAATTCAGATTATTATCTATTTCCATTCCAAAAATCTCTAACGTGTCCTTTACTGGGAAGGAAAAACCATACTCCGTATCACCGAGGATTAGACACTGGTGCTTGCTCTCATTAACTAACATCCCATTTTCATGGTACCACTGATTGGCCACGCCAACATCATGAGATACGCATGCATCCAGAGCTGCCGGATCGACGTGGGAGTAGTATACCTGATGATCATCCGCATAAGCGTTCAACTTGGCCTTCTTGACGTGGAAGAAAAGATCGTTTATGAAAATGTTGAATAGCATGGGACCTAACACACTCCCCTGCGGGACCCCACGCTTGACGCTTTCCCAGGTAAATGGCAATGGCTTCCTGATAAGTGCAGTTTGCACAAAACCACTGTGGAAGAGAAGCTAGTCAGTAGAGAAAAAAAAATGTTTAATTTGACTTTCCCTAATCTTACGATCATTATCTCCAAGAGTGAATGCAAGAAACTTAAGAGGAAATAAATGTTTAAAAAATATTGTAAGAAGGGCAAGGGGTGTGCAAGATGTTAAACATAGACACCAAATACTTCTCTCCTCCGAAGTGTTTCGATTGACCATTGGAAATGATGTGCTGGTGGCACAATTTGTTTCTCTCTGTCTTGTGCGCGTAACTTTTCAAGAAATTTCAAAGGAAATGGATGTTAAAACTGTCAATGTTATTGTAAAAAAACAAATCAACAACAATTTTTCATATTCTCCACTATTAATGGACCATGGAAATGGCGTCAAAATATTCAAAACTTTGCAGGGAAACCACTCACCTGCAGCTTGTTGTTGATTTGTTAGCTTCCCCTGGAGAGAGGGGTTGGTCACATCACACACACACACACACACACATACGCACCCCTGCATTCTTGTGAGGACCATATTTCCAGACCCTAGTTGCGAGGACACCCTTTTCCACAGCAGTTATCCAAATGATACTGGGGCATTTATTAGCTGACTTCTTGGCCTCTTAAAACATCTGGTCGAAATTAGAAAAAGGCCAATATTTTTTGTGGGGACACTGTTGTGGGGACACTTTACATTGCGAACTTTGCCTACTTGTGGGGACTGTGGTCTGGACAGTACTTATGGGCACACAGAGCTACACACCCGACTTGTGGGGATTGCATCTTGAGACAGTACTTATGGGTACACATGGCAAAACACCTTACTTGTGGGAACTAGTTGGACAGTGCGTATAGGGACACGTCAATACACCCAACTCGTGCTTGTTGGACAATCATTTGCTCAATTAGAGACCTATTTGATAAGAGTTTCGTAGATTTTTACTTCTCTTAGGGGATTTAGCTCTCACTTCCCTTAATCTGACATGCACCAAACGGATTCAAACTGCATTAAAATAGAGGATTAAGAATGAAAAATACAAGAGCTCTTATTTTTCACATTATAGCAAGGTCCAATTTATCATTTCTATTTTCTCAGTGGTAGTGAAAAGGGAAACTGAGCTTTGTTAACCTGTGCAGTAAACAATATCAATATCTGCACGTTCTGCCCTCAGAGAAAGTTTTCGCCGAGTACCTAAGGTGATGTAATTATGACGGACCAAACCTGCCCACTTTCACTATATGAGGTTTTTCCCACCCTAGCCGGGATTTTACTCAATACGAGTTTAGCGAGGTTTTCCCAGCTTATTGTAGACACAAACAGTTGGCTTGGTTGCTCTTTTCTTAAGCCTTTCCGTCCAGCGGATGTTTCTTTGAAATCAAAGGAATCGGTTAATGAAAGTATCCACTCCACGTCTGGCCCAAAGAGAAATGATAAGTTTGGTTTTCCCAAGTCTCGCTGTTTCTAGAGACAAAGTCGGGGAAACATCAAAACTTGAGGGAAAACAAAACATACTATTTTTCCTTGAAGATTAGACATTATTCAACAGGGGGATAAAAACAAACAAACAAACAAACAAAGAAACATACCTTAACAAAGCACAACTATAATTTCCTCCAAAGAAAATTTCCGACAAATACATCATGAAAGTGATGCAAAATACAAAATGAAACTAAGCTTTCAATTAAACACTAATACAATCTTTATCATTTTGAATGGTTACATTAGCACCAGTGAAAGCTCCCGCTTGAAAATTGACACTCTCTCTTGATTTTCCACACAGATAATTAAGCACTAAAGGACCCTAGTCAGCCTCTTCCATTGTCCATGCCATCGAAGGTATTGATATTGCATGGAGACGCAAAATATTATGGCTTTACCGTAAATGGTGTTCCAGAAAGTATGTTTAATTATCTTTAGTAGTTTCACAGTGAGTTCCTTCGTTTGCACATCGGAGTAAAATGTTGTAGCCAAACCCTCCCATATAAACAAAAAAAAGTATGGCTGACTAGGGCTCTTTAATGACTGGCCCCGCATTTCTCCGAGACCCTCATTGTTCCCTGAGGCGTGAAATTAACGAGACAAAGTATCACACACCAAAACACTGAAGAATCCTTAAGGAAAGCATAGTTAATAGAGGGGCATGGTTATGAAACCTGGCAAACTGAAGTTCTTTCTTGTATGTTCTTGTTGGTTACTTTGGGGGTTGACCCTGTACAAAACCTGGCAAAATACAAAAGGTGGTTATGTGTGCTCATACAACTAACCAACTTAGAAGCATCTCGATTATGTAATTCGTGCAGTCACTGAGCATAAAACTGAAAAGCTGTGCAGGGTCAAGGACCTTCCAACATAAATCTTAGCCTGTTTCAGTGTTTGCTTCTTCGATGTTTAATGGGTTCTTAACCATTTCCCTCTATGTGGAGAGGCATTTCTCCAGAAAACCTGCGACATTCTACAAGTTAAACCTCTTTCAAAAGTTAGATACAACACTTGATGCCTCTTGTTTATCTACGTTATGAAATTTGATTAAAATCTACTGGCAAATCTGAGCGATAAAAACAGTAACCTAAACATTCCGATCACTGTACAACATGGCATGTTGTAACATTGCGACTAGAATCGATTTGGAAAACACCTTTCTGGGCTTGGTTTCATCAAGCGACGTCGTAATAGCACTTATGACTCAGTGAAAATCAAAAGTAGGTGTCGTTATCTCGGCGTAAAGTGTAATTCAGTGGTAGAATAGAGCTCTACAAAGCTCGTTTCGATGCATTGTGATTGGTTCAGTTCGTTCGATTCCTGTAAGATCATAGTGACAGAGTCATGAGCAGAATTCACTAGATCACAACGCCTCTGCGCTTCTGACTACGACTCCGATTGACAGATCCACTTTTCATGAATCCAAGTTTACAAATCCAGATCACTTTGTACAAACTCTAATCTGGTCTATCTTTTACATGTCACATACACACAAAAAAAGAGTTAATGACAACATGATTGTCACGGTGAGTACAGTATATACCGGTAATAGCGGAAAGATGAAAGCCAAACGTTCGCATTCATGACCAACGCAAAAATACGGTTGTTTTGCAGTCTACTGCTATTCTGTGCGATTTTGTTGGTAGCAGCTTTAAAACGTAAATGCGATTCACCAATTAATAACAAGCATTTTAATAAACACGATACAACTTTTGAAATCCACGTTTCAGCATGACTCATGCATTCAACGAAAAAGCAGAATTATCCGTAGTCCGAACCTGTGGAACGAAGTGCGTTCGCGGACGGACAACCAATACACGTATCGCACTGATGAACGCGTGGTTGATTAGAGAATGAAAATTAATGAGCAGAGATGAACATTTCTGGACATACGATAGGAAACTAAGCACGTCCGCAAATTCTGAGACGACCAATTGCAACTGCTATTCCGTATTTTTCTAAACCACGTTTACTACTTCGTTTAGGCCTAATGCTTGTACAAAATTTAACGGTAGAAATACATTACTAAGTCTTCCGAGAGTGCTGTCGCTGAGTCGGCCGCTTCTTTGTATCGCATTCTGTGTTGCGATACTACACCTTGTTTTTTCTTCCAGCCTCTTGGTGGTCCGGTTTCTTAAATCCTTCAATCTGATTGCCTAATCTCGCGCGCTCCAGCGGTCCGGCTTTGTCCACCCGGACCCCGGTCAATTTTTTTTAAGCCGTACGTTTTCAATTTTCAATAACATCGATTTTTGTTACATAAAGGACATTTTGGGCCAAAAACCAACCTTGTTAAACGTAATGTTTCCCTTCACAGCGTCACATGTAAATAAAGGTCCGGTAATACGGGCAACATTTTTCTTCAACTTGTCTCGCAACATTGTTGCATTGCAAGTTGCAATCCTCTGTTGCGCGTATGACCACGTTTGTGACCAACTTGTCTTGCCGCAAAATACAGTGTTGCAAGTGTGCGAATTCTATTCTCTATTAAACAATTGTCCATAATTCACTCTGTTTGCTCGCAAATTTTGCATTAACTACTGATGTGAAATTCTCTTGGGAGGTCTGCGTATTCCCAAGAGAATTTCACATTAGTTTATTCAAAATCTGGGGGGCAAAAGAGTGAATTATGGGCAATTGGAAAATAGAGAATACGTTTTCATTGGTCAATCGTGTGCAAATAAAGATGGCGCCTTCCGGCCATTATGTTCTTAATTTTCCGTGCCAGCGAAGTTCTCTCAGTATGAAGCTCAGTGTTGTTTCAGAACGAAATAAAGTTTTGTTGTTGTAATAGATAGCTAGGCGAAAAGTTGTATTTCTGCAACAGTTCTTCCAAGCCTTTTGTCTGTTTTGCCGCTTGTTTCGAACGGACAAACGAGGCGCCCCAAAGACTAGGATAGCCCTTGAGGTCTTTGCACAGGGCAAATTTATTACTTTCAGTGAGTTACTGGCCTACTTCGAATTCAGATTGTTCTTCACCGTCCGCCATGTTTTTTTTTTTTTCCGCGTTGCCGCGCTTTGCGACAGCCAATCACAAGCGTCGAATTCAAATTTACTGCGAGACAAGCTGTAGCTTCAGTGGTAATACGAGCAGCAAAACTAAAATTTGTTGCAGAAAATAGAACTTGAGTCTATCAAACGAAAAGAGTGTTTCAACTTGCAATGCAACAATATTGCGAGACAAGTTGAAGAAAAATTTTGTCTGCATTGCCGGACCTCAACTCCTACAATTTCTGCATACAGCAGTATCGCTTTCTGTGCTCGAAACTCAAGCGTACGCAAGATTTAAACTGAAAGGCAACACGAAATATGCTTTAAAGCAGCATCGTAGCGAGAAAAATAGGTAACTAAATAAAGAAGTCATTTGCCAGCCTTGGTTCGTCCGCACTAGGAAAAACTGTACCCTTGGTTTTGAGTACGGCCGTACTCAGTCAAAACTTCGGGCACAGTTTTTCCCAATGCGGATGAACCAGCGCCGGCAAATAACAAATACTTATTTCAAAAAAATCGTCATTGCTGATTCACTGCTCAATACATGATGCCTCTCATGATGTAGAACAATATAAAAATGATACTTAGTTTCTTCGATACTCCAATTTGGTATCATTACAGATTTCCCACACAAGGAGACACCTATTGTTCTCAAAAGCTTATGAGCACCAATTATATGCAATCCAATTGTCAGCGTAAGTAGTCTAACACTAAAGAAAAAGCTTAATAATCTTACGATCATTTTACAACATTATTATTTCTTTCATTGTGCTAATCTCATTTGAAGTAACTAGAACCGTGCCAGGATGACAATACCAAACTACAAACTGTTATTTATAGTTGTGAGAACCCTCTTTCTTTTGTCATTCTGGTTCTTAATATAATATTTTACGGCTGTCCATTCCCTACGATCTAAGGCGCCATTTGCTTTGGCAATACAATTCTCACAGTCACGTTTGCCAGGAACACGTCCTCGTCTAATCCAGGGAGCGAGATACTTGAAAACAGCTTCTTTTTCCTCTTCTGTCCACGGAGTATGGGCAGTCGACTCTGCAAATCGAAAACGCTTACCTTAGTGATAAAAGCACCGTTTCTTTGCTGGAAGACAATAAAGGTTCCCAAGGATATGTAATGCCTAAAATTCCTACAGTATACGGGAAGAGCGCCTCTCAAAACCGTTACTAAAACAACGCCACATGAAAAACTCCTTCCGAAAAAGTTCGCAACCGGATTTATTGAGAGTGTAATAGATTTACAGCTCGCAAATTATAAATCAACGCGAAAGTCGAATCAACCAAGGTAACACACACGCATCACTTTTGATGTATTGACAATACTGTGAACGCCACAGAGTCTCTGGCGTGATAGGTTAAAAACTGCTTTAGCTTGTCAGATCAGAGAAAAATGCTACCTTGTTCGGTCAGACTTCTGCATATATTTGAGATATACTGAAAAAATATTCCAAACTTACTCCCTGACTTGAGCACAGCTTTTTTGGCATTCTTCTTAGCTGGATCTTTCCCACAAATTTTTTCCGTCTTTGTAGGTTCTTTGACAACTATAAGTAAATACACAATACGTCAGAGAATCTAGACACAGGGAAGGGGGACAAATACAATACAGAGGTAGATATTCACAGCGCTTTTGACTTACTTTACAACAGGCGACTACATTTTTTTTACTAAAATCGACTCATTTCCACATGACAAAATATCCTACGTGCCGTTTTTATAACGAAAGGAAATTTGACCAACTTACTCTTTGTCTTTGAAATAGCACAGTTTGAATTCTCCTTATCTTGATCTTTATGTTTCTGAGAGCGACCACCCCTTATCGTCTTGTGTTCTATGTTGATAGGAAATATAAAAATAAAAAAAATCGAGATTTTGAAAAGCACTTCACAAAGATAGAAGTGTACTCCGGGGGGAATAGTGAACCAACTCACTCTTATCCCCACTTTATGATTACGAACGTCCGTCCCTGCTTAACCTACAATGAGTGTCGTTCAGACCAACTTCGGGCGGGGCCTTCCCAAACACATACACAGAGGTGGGGGAAGGGAGACTTCTACAACCTCCCAATCTTTAATACATACTCAAGAGTGATAGTGCATTAAGTTTTCAATCCATGAAGTATACACAGAGTTGAATTTATACACCTGATTTTCTAGGGAAGCTTTTTCTCTTGCAGAGTTTACGGGAGGAAATCCACTCTTATTATCTCATATTCACTGGGATTCTGAAACCCATAAAAAAAAAAACGGATTTTCTTTCTAGAAAAGGGGCAAGAAAAGGGATTGCGACACCATGTAGTTAAATTTTACATAGTTTTGTTCCATCACGAGGATATTTTTCTCATCACCTTCGACAACACGGTTGTCCTCATCACAATCATCAAGCTCCCCATCCGTGTCTGAAAATTCCAGATACGCAATATCTAAAAGAAAGCAATAAGAAACAATATGACTACGCATCGAACACTAGAGTCGCTAACCACCAGCAGCTTGGAAACTTGCCCCTTGTCTCGACAGATTGCAAAGAATGTCGTACTATGGAGAATTTTTTTTTTTTGCACACCAGAGGCTGAATATATCGAACACATTTTAATTTTATGGGAGAACTAATGCTGACTATCGTTCCTCCACTCGCCAGGTTAGTGACAACCTTTAGTCGCACTGCTTAACATGAGCTTCGTTGCCGAAACTTTGTCAAGAACTAGGAAAATAAGACAATTCACCAATCTCTGTATTCCCATATGTTTATTCAATGACCGCGCAAACTGGACGGTTGTCAATGCAAAACGTGAGCGGGTTGGGGCGGATAGAAAAATAGCCCACCGAGTTCACCTGCGTATCGGCTCTTTCAAGTTTGCTTTGAGAAAATATTAATTAAGTTTGAGAACCACTACCCTCGTACCTTTTTTTCTTTTTCTACTGACGAGTTCATTTTGACAAAAACAAAAACTTCTTATGTTTTGCTTTTCTGACGATAACTTATTCTAATTATCTGACAATAAAGATGCAATTAAAATACGTAATCGTCAAAAAGCAAAACATAAGAAGTTTTCGTCTTTTTCAAATGAACTCGTCAGTAGGAATAGAAGAAGGCTACGAGAGTAGTGGTCGATTTGTTTTTCTCAGGCTAACTTTTTTCTTATCGACATCTTTTATTATGGGCAACTAAAATGTAACCTTTGATCTGGTCTTTCGCAAACCTCAGCTCAATAGTATAAATAAAATAATTCCCATCCACTTTACCTGAAGTTACAATCTTCTTCGCTCTTCTTCCTTTGGCTTCTATTACAAAATGAGTCAAAATTAATGTCGAAGAATATAGACATCCATACAGTTATAACAAGAAGTGCCAAAAAACGTTTTATTGACCAAAATCCAAGACTACAAGACTGATTCTTATTACCCGATTAAATCTCTGTACTACAAGGTAGTCCGTTTGACGCTGTGCTCCGTGTTTGAACTCAGCAATACATGAAAACTAATAGCACACTTCAACTTGTTTTAAAACATGATCAGAAAGTCAATTTCCTCATTTGCCTTCACAAAATCTATGATTTTCTAGGACTTGTATTTACCTCAAACAAAATACGTACTAAAGAAATTGGTTGCCACTGCTGGCAACAATGATCCCATGAAAGAGAACGTCTCAAATGCTTTCCAGTTTTTAAGAATATCAACAAATGATTTCGTATCTTACTGTTTGACTTTCGTGATGATTTGCTAGCCACTTCTTTAGTGAAATCTTTCTGGGACATACTTTTCGCTACTTGCTTCTTGGTAGAGCGTCCTGTTATAATGTTAATAACCCAATCAATTAACAGAGACACCTTGATTTAAGGTGGCCTTGCACTCCCTCGCAGAATTTTAAGTTTACAATAATGTTTCCTCTTATCTTACTTATAAATATTCGATAATAAAAATGGAGGTTTCCCCTAATGGTAACATTTAGCGCGTTTCTAACGGGTTTTATTGTTGCTATGGTAGCCTGTTATATAAAAAGGATGATCACAAGTTGTTAACCAATGGCTGGGTATTTGTGTGATGCCATTATTGGAGGATGATATGACTAAGAGTGGTTGTGTTGATCCATCAAAGTATAAGTGATAGAAAGAGCTGGAAACTATTGTCAGCCAACTTAATTAAGTCGGCACTGCCAATATTCTGTGAATTCAGGAAGCAATTTACGCACCTGAAGACGTTCCTTCATCGAAAGTGTCAGTCTTGTCATCTTCCTCACCATCAGTATCATTAAGTTCATCATCAGTGTCGGAAAGTCTTGGTTCTGCGATTTCTAACAAAACGTTTCCGAGTCAGAAATTTCGCTCATGCATTCCGCTTTTGCTGTTGAATATTTTTCCGCTAAAAAAGTAGGGTCACGGGATCAGTTTTTGAGATACTCTCCGTACAAATTAAAATCTCGACTTCGAAAGATCGCCCCTTGCGCATGCGTGAAGGTGGTCTGCTGATCAGTAAAGCTCGCAATTCCACGCGAATACTGTTTCTTTCTTTCTTTTTTTTTCGCTGTTGTCATTAGCAACATAACTAAAGTGGTAGAAGACGAGCACCATAAATACCTGAAGGTGAGACTCGCAAAGTAAAAAGAACGAAGACAACTTGAAGAGTAGTTTTTCCTTACAGTTTTTTAGACTGATACCCGGCGTGATTGATCGCAACATCAACATCACAATTTTCGTTTACGTTCCAGCACAGTGGTTTAAAAGAATGTTTTTCCTTGGAAATTGCCTTTTGAGGCAAAAATAACTGATATCGTAAACAGCTTACCAAACCTGGCGGAAACAAATTTTTACAAAGTAGGCCTCGCGCCGCCATGTTTGTAACTTTAAATCTCGCGCGCTATCTCGCGACCTGAATGAATGAATGAATGAAGGACACCTCTCGGGTGATCGCGTGATGCCTCGCGCTGAAATGCACGTTAGAGCCCAGGCGTCTTCCGGTATATTACTGTTTTGAGTTGCCTTAAATTAGCATGAAAAGATCACTTGTACTTACCATTCAGATCGATTTCTGTCAAGGTTTTTCCGGCAAATTTGCCTGTTTTCCCTTGATCTACCGTTAGAAGCAGTTTGCTAACTTTAGCGATTTCAATTGTAGACTCATGGAGTCTGTAAAAGTCCCTATGCACTCGAATGTCATGGCCAAGATGTCTCGCGAGCCAATCCACTTCTGTTTCTTTCAGAGAAAGTACTTGCGAAATAGTTGCTATGTACTTCCTCATCCTTGTACTGGTGATATTTGTAGGGTTTGACAAAGGTGGTTCACACTGTGTGCTTAATTTCTTGAGACAATCCCAGGCACGCATGGGCTCTAAAGACTGTCTATTTGGTCTTGCAAACACGTACGGATTCTCATCTGCGATGCCTACTGCTTTCCTCGTCTTGATTAGAACATCAATAGCGTTGATCATCTCGGGGGTCAAGATGACTGGAACCTTTCTTCCCCGCTTGCCACGAATCTCCACCATGTCTAGTCTAAATACAACAATAAAAATAACTCTCTTTATCTGTGGAAAGTCTACCATTTCGAAAAGGAGGAGTTTCTTTTCAATGAAGGAGCAAATAGGGGTTCGTGAAACCAACCATCTAAACAAAAAGCGAAGCGAAAATAATAAAGTGGCATACTTCGATAAACAATTTCGTCCTGATCGAGTCTGACAGAGAAGCAAGAGAGAAATAAAGTTTCCCGATATACAGCAGCATTATATCAGGCAGTCTAGCGTATTTCCGCATGTTAACGTACTTTTATACACGTATTTAAATAATTGTTTAACTGACCTATAACTATTTTAAAACTTGACAGTGACATCTTGAAGATATCGAAACGTTCTTTACCTCGACTAAAGGCTTGGAAAATTATTGGAATTTTGACAAAGACGCGCGTTTATTTCCTTGTCGCACTCGTCGCCATTTGGTTACCCATACTTAAAATATATCTTTCACCAATGCAGTTGCAAAAGCCTAGGACATTCAACTTCACTCTAAGTAATGGTTAAGAATCTTCACTTGCCTCCTGGATAATTCTCTTTCAAAGCTGCTAAGTGCCGACATTATTTCAGGGTTGTTCACTTTTGTCCAGTCTGGTCTGCTCAGGTAACTGTTTAGAAGCATCTTCGAGGCTTCTCCCGCTCTTCGTTTGTTAAATATGACCAGCCTTGCAAGAGTTGCTTGGGCTAAATCACTCCATGCTTGTAGCTGAGGCTGTTCTTCCAGAAGTTGTACACCAGAGGACATCTTGACGAGGACAAACGTCCGTAGTTTATCGAGATCATCTGCGAGAGGCAACAGCTGCACTTTGTTGAATTTGCTTGTACTGAGAGAGTTGAGAGAATGGTGAGATACACGATGACTCCACTCAGATTCCAAAAGTTTTTCAAAATTTTCTGCATCCTCTTGCAAGTCCTTATCTTTCCTGCGCAACGCATGGCCCCGAAGAATGTGAACACATTTTTTAAGGGAATGACCCAGCTTTAAAGACAGAGAGGGAGTAGCGACATTCTGAACACCTTCTTGAAAATGAAACTTGGAAATGTTCTTTACTGCACTAATAACGTCATCAAACTTGTCAGGCTTAATGAAGTCACAGAGCCCAGCATCAGGTCGGAACTCGGTTTCACGAAGCTGCATCACGAGCCGAGCGAGTTCCCTCATTTTTTGTGAAACCAGGTTGTTTTGCTTTTCTCCATGCTTCTCGAGAAGCATCACTCCAACATCTCTAATGAGCTCGTCATTTCTGGCAATTGCTGAAATTTCGTCACTTTTCATAGTTGCAAGTAATTTACTCAGTATACCGCTACTGTCATTGTAAATAGCTGGAAATAGCATCAATTTTGCGTTTTGTTGTACCTTCTGATATTTCGGGGCATCTTTCATACTCTCTGGCCTAAACTTACAGGATTTAGCATGCTTCCACAAATCGTGGCGTTTTAAGAAGCCGCAGCAAGACGGACAGGGAAGAAAATCTTCAGGACTGGACTTCTCACTAGAAGAGGATGGGCGTCTCATGACTATGAGCTCTCCTTTGCCAGTTTCTAATACGGTCAAATTGTGGTGGTAGTTACCTAACAACCGCAGTTTCTCAAGATGTCTCTTCCTTTCTGTAGACCCTTTGTTGAAGGAGAGGGCAATGGCCACTTCTCTTTCAGACTGGTGCTTCAGCTCATAATGCCTTGCGATTTTGAATTGCAACGTGCCACAATAGTAACAAGCCTGCCTCTTGTCATAAACCCTTTTTTTGTCCTTACTTATCCGCGCACATCGTAAAGACACTGAAATGATAATGATATGAGTTATGTGAGTAAGTACGGTAACGTCATAGGCAAAGCTTTTGGCATCCATAGGTTACCAGTTTTTTATATGCATGATGCTCTGCTAAAATACGAACTCTCGAAGGTGGCCGCCTAATACAGGTTTCACTGTAGTATTGTGTTTCGAGTATATAATCCTTATTTTTACAATAACTGTCAAATTTATTGGGCGCTGATTAGCTCATGTTTATCATCAATAAGAGTACAGACGGATAAAATTTTATTTTATGCAAGCTTTCAACAGTTCAACGTTAACCAATGGGATTTCATTGACTTTCTTAAGAAGCCAATCAAAAAGCGAGAAAACGCTATTGATAATGTTCGCGTCATTCTGAATTAAGTTCACTTAGCTCCGGCAATTTTACGACGTCTTTTCCCCTCATTTATTCCCGGCATTTGACCACTTTGCGGTCTTGTTATTGTAAAAAACAAATTGACGTCGGTTTTTTATGCGTCTGTCCTCTTATTGACGATAAATTACGTCATAACATTGTCCAAGTTTAGTGCGGAACCACTCACCTGCGGCTCCTGGTTCCACAGCCACTATGACAATGTTATGACGCAATTAATCATCAATAAGAGGTTAGACGCATAAAAAACTGATGACGTCAATTTGTCAAATGGCATAGATGAATGACCTTTTTCATTTTTCTTATGTACCATGATATGAAAGTCACAACTTTGGAAGCAAAATGGAGCAGCAGCCTGTGGCACTTGTGGGTGTTGTCCTGTTTCCCGGAGGAAGGGTTGAACGGATAAAGGTGTCCATAAAGAAACCGGTGCCAATTCCGATAAGCAGTTAAGTTCCCACAGAATCCTATGTTTGTTTCGTTTGTGTACTCAGTAAATTAAAATTCCATGGACTACTTCCTTACCCCCTGCAAATGGCGGTGCTGTCATGATCGTAGTGCTGTTGCTTCTCGTCGAGTTATCCTCATCGCACGAAGAAACGTCTTTTTCAGGTAATGCTACGCAGCTATTCTCTTCAGCGTCCAGCGGAACCTCTTTTCGCAGAAACCGCTCACCTTTTAAAGAAAAAAAAAATGACCTAAATATCTAAACAGTATAAAGAAAGGAGAGAGGTATTTTGCCAGCCTAAATTACGCAGGGTTTAAGCGTTTTTGACTCCACCTTTCTGTGAAATATTATGTTGATCAGCGGCCCTCTCAATAATTTTTCACTAGTGAGAACCAACTTAAAAAGCACGAAGAGGTAACATGACACCATGGAAGAATCATCTTGCACAGAAAAATTATATATTCCAACCACGCTATTAACCAGGGGCCGGTTGCTCAAAGACTGGTTAGCGCTAACCGTTGGTTAAGAGGTATCAAAACGTATAGGTTTCAATGGTATTTAACGCTGGTTAGCGCTAACCATGCTTCGAGCAACCCGGGCCAGGACTATAAAAAGACGAGTCAGTAATAATAGTCAGACATAACATTAATAATGATAATGATAATGCTAACAACAACGATAACGATAACGATAACGATAATGAAAAATTTAACAAAGTGAAGGTGAGTGTTTCAACTCATAACACAAGGCTATTGAACTTGCACGTACCTGGTTGCTTGAGTGTACTGTCATCTTCATTAGGGGAAGAGGAACTTCTACTCTGGTTCTCTACATAAAGGTAAGCCCATAAAAACTGATGTTTGTTACTGTTGAATTTATAAACAGTCGTGACTGATACTTGCAAATAGACTTTTATTACAGCATTACTTTCATAGACCTGACCAAAAGGGATAAGCTTGCATTAATTCTTTCTCGTAATACACCTGTTAGTTGAGATGTTCAACATCTTACTTAACACAGGATTTTTTTAAATTATTAAGTGTACCTAATAGTTTCGTTGTACTTTTGTCTTCGTCAGAAGAAGAGGAACTGGAAGACAACATTTTTCTTTTGACACGTTGTCTCTTGTTAGCTGCGAATACACACAACAAAATGTACTATGTATTAAAATGATGTTTCTTTATAAGTCAAATGGTAAGTTTCTAATAGTTACGATTCTTCTGGCATGGGTAAAATTGTAAGCCGGGAGAAGTGTGAATCTTTTGTTACAACTGCTAGACGAAGAAATTTTTAATGAATCTTGACTATGCAAATGGTAGAGTGCTACAGGCGTTTGCTAAAATGATATAGTTACACATCTACCTTTTTCACTTTTAAAAATAGATTGTTCACAGCCTTTCAATTTTCTCAACACAAACTGGAAGAAGCACGAGAAACAGTGATCGAAAAAAGTGTGAGCTCAAAGCGTTATCTACCCGCACCTACCCCAGTTGCGCTCCGCATTGACATACGCACCCAGTTTGCGCAGCCATAAACATTAACAGTCGCTACTGGCTGACGGCTGCCAAACTGTTGCTCCGTATGTAATAACCGAATTCTATTATTTTGAAAGTGTTATGAATGTTAAGACTTCCACGAATAGCCAGTGATAATTACGTTAGTTAGACCACTTACTTTATTTTAAAGTTTAAAATTAATGCTGCAAATAGTTTCTTAATCTAACCTTTTAGGTGTCCCCAATTAGTTGAGGGATTCACCCACGCCTATTTTACCTTAGACATGTTAATAAAGTTGTTGACTGATTGATTGACATGCAAGGAAATAGAGGACTTTGAACAGTCTACCTCGACTGAAAACAACAAACGTCATTATTAGCTTACCAAAGGTTTTCTGAATTCCACAATCTTCATCTTCACCTTCCTCGTCCTCTTTCAAATGTAGCCCTAAATCAAAACCAAACGAATTCTACGTTCACTTTCTCATATGTATTACCTGATCAATCAGTCCTCTGAACTGATATACAATGTAATGAGTACAAGTTCAAATCAGCAAACTTAATTCATCACTTGTGAAATTTTTCTAGTCCATACCTAATGAAGCCTGGGGAGATACCCTGTTCAGCAATCCAGGATAATCAAGTCTTGCAGGATAACTGAACTCTTCACTGTCTGTTTCAGCTGCACTATCAGCAACTCCCTACAAACGAGTCACTGTATTAGCATTTAACCAGGCATAGTAGCCTATACAAGGAGTTGTTTTTCCCATGATCACACTAACGCCACTAAGGGTGTGTTTTTTTAGGAAATCAAGATTGGATTCTTGAATCCCAAAAAAAAAAACCGAAAACGGATTTTGCATTTCTCTCCTAAACAGATCAATCCAAGATCTCTCGGATCATGGTGTATCAAAGGGACGGAATAATCCTTGCCCAGAGTGGATTATTCGGTTTCTTTGACGCACCAGGATCCGAGAGATCTTGGATTGATCTGTTTAGTAAAGAAACGCAAAAATCCGTTTTTGGATTCTTTTTCGATTTAAGAATCCAATCTTGGATTTTCTTAAAGAAACGCACCCTAAAATTTGATTTTTATATACTGTAGTTCGAATACCAACTAAATTCAACAATGACACGTTAAAAAAAAGATAGTAAATTTAACATCTATTGTGATTGAATACTTACAGAGACAAGAATATGAACACACACAAGCACTGTGGGGACTGTTTAGATTGTGGGGACATTCCCCATACTTTTTGCTTTTTGATTAAGAACAGTGTGCAAACCTTTGACATTAGTTCGATTTGTTTATCGTTTCAACTTCATTGTTTATATTAATTATTCATTAAATAACTTCCTCGTAAAATATTTACCAGTAACCATACAAGGTTTATTCAATCCCTAAATTCCACAGCACTAAATCAGGTCAATTACATTATGGATACCATTATAAACTGAACTTCGACACTTCTGACAACGTGTCAAGATGTCATATCCTCAGACAGTTGTCATTTGGAAAAGAGAAAATATCCCAGGAAAGGACCACCCGATTTATACAAGAGCCCCCTTTTGGCAGGCCAAAACTAAAGAAATGCACAATTTTCCAATCCTGCTGTCGAGTTATCGTATTATCTTACGCCAAAGTAAAAATCACAAGAACAAGCAAATAAGCAAATTACTGAAGGGAACAGTGTGGACTACCACTGAGATTCTGAAAAAGACAATGGATACTCTTTGCTTCAGTCAGCATTTTCTTAAGAGTTGGGCTCAGGCAACAATAACATCTGACTTTTTTCCCCTTTCCCTATTTCTTTTAGATATGTGAAAACTCCTGTGACTAGGAATTACCAAGAGAGAAACAAAGCCACAAGATTCGTGAGAGTAGGAGAGAGTGTATGTACACTTCATTTGTCCTTCTTCTTTTACTTCCATGGTATATAAATAATAGAATAATATTCCTTAGAAAAAAGGGTAAAAAACTCCCACAGTAACATATGTAAGGCATTTTCTTTGATTACAATAAAGTGCCTTCATAATATTTACCTCATCACTGTCATACTTCTGATTGCTCAAGTCTACAAAAAAAAAAAAAAACAGACAATCCAGTGTATACATTTACTCTTCAACTATTTAAATTACTATTATTTTTATTTTGACTTTTTGTTTCTGGAGTTCCCCTATGGTGATCTATCAAATGGAAATTTTATCAGGCCCATGAATGCTCATTGCTATTATAATTTTAGTGAAACTGAATAATTATGCAAACTGAAGCAAGTTATTTACAAGCAAATTAACGCATGTGCAACCTGTAAAAAGAACAAGAAATGTAACCATTTTACAAGTGCAGCATGATGAATTTATAGTGTCTTTTCTATATTGTTTCGCCATTTGTGCCATATTGTAACATTAAAAAAATGCCTGTTATGACTATGTGTGCATAAACTTGTGAGCCTCCCTTTTCTTCACTGCCTAGTTTTTCATGACCCAACTTTTTCAGGGGCCAAAAAAAGATATGACCCTCCTGCATCTACTTTCTCACAAGTTTTTTTCAAGTACAGTGTACCTGCTAGTAGATTGCTTCTAACTTCTCCATCACAGGACACAGGACTTTGACTTGGGTAAGCTGCAAAAACAATTAGAAAATCTTCGTTTACATAAATGTACATTCCAACAAAGAACAAGCCTGCACCAGTTTTGTAACAAATGATGTTATAGTTCAGCTCTACGTGTAAAGTGTATCAGCAGAGCACCATGTGTAAATAGCTTTGGTTTTAAAACCATTAAGCCGAGAAAATTTTGTTATGACATCACCTTACGAGTTAAGTGCACATTAATAATGATAATGATAATGATAACGACAACAATAACGACAAGGACAACGATAACGACAATGAAAATAGTAATGTGTCTTTTTTTTAGAGGAAGCGGTAGAAATACTCTCTGGAAAATTTTAACAACGTGAAGGTGAGTGTTTCAACTCATAACACAAGTCTATTGAACTTGCACGTACCTGGTTGCTTGACTGTACCGTCATCTTCATCAGGGGAAGAGGAACTTCTACTCTGGTTCTCTACATAAAGGTAAGCCCATAAAAACTGATGTTTGTTACTGTTGAAATTATAAACAGTCGTGACTGATACTTGCAAATAGACTTTTATTACAGCATTACTTTCATAGACCTGACCAAAAGGGATAAGCTTGCATTAATTCTTTCTCGTAATACACCTGTTAGTTGAGATGTTCAACATTTTGCTTAACAACGGATTTTTTTAAACTATTAAGTGTAACTAATAGTTTCGTTGTACTTTTATCTTCGTCAGAGGAAGAGGAACTGGAAGACAACTTTTTTCTTTTGACACGTTGTCTCTTGTTAGCTGCGAATACACACAACAAAATGTACTATGTATTAAAATGATGTTTCTTTATAAGTCAAATGGTAAGTTTCTAATAGTTACGATTCTTCTGGCATGGGTAAAATTGTAAGCCGGGAGAAGTGTGAATCTTTTGTTACAACTGCTAGACGAAGAAATGTTTAATGAATCTTCGCTACATTAAAACAGATATGCAAATGAGTAGAGTGCTACATGCGTTTGCTAAAATGATATAGTTTAATACACATCTACCTTTTATACCTTTAAAAATAGATTGTTCACAGCCTTTCTATTTTCTCAACACAAACTGGAAGAAGCACGAGAAACAGTGATCGAAACAAGTGCGAGCTCAAAGCGTTATCTACCCGCACCTACCCCAGTTGCGCTTCGCATTGACATACGCACCCAGTTTGCGCAGCCATAAACATTAACAGTCGCTACTGGCTGACGGCTGCCAAACTGTTGCTCCGTATGTAATAACCGAATTCTATTATTTTGAAAGTGTTATGAATGTTAAGACTTCCACGAATAGCTAGTGATAATTACGTTAGTTAGACCACTTATTTTATTTTAAAGTTTAAAATTAATGCTGTAAATAGTTTCTTAATCTAACCTTTTAGGTGTCCCCAATTAGTTGAGGGATTCACCCACGCCTATTTTACCTTAGACATGTTAATAAAGTTGTTGACTGATTGATTGACATGTAAGGAAATAGAGGACTTTGAACAGTCTACCTCGACTGAAAACAACAAATGTCATTATTAGCTTACCAAAGGTTTTCTGAATTCCACCATCTTCATCTTCACCTTCCTCGTCCTCTTTCAAATGTAGCCCTAAATCAAAACCAAACGAATTCTACGTTCACTTTCTCATATGTATTACCTGATCAATCAGTCCTCCGAACTGATATACAATGTAATGAGTACAAGTTCAAATCAGCAAACTTAATTCATCACTTGTGAAATTTTTCTAGTCCATACCTAATGAAGCCTGGGGCGATACCCTGTTCAGCAATCCAGGATAATCAAGTCTTGCAGGATAACTGAACTCTTCACTGTCTGTTTCAGCTGCACTATCAGCAACTCCCTACAAACGAGTCACTGTATTAGCATTTAACCAGGCATAGTAGCCTATACAAGGAGTTGTTTTTCCCATGATCACACTAACGCCACTAAGGGTGTGTTTCTTTTAGGAAATCCAAGATTGGATTCTTGAATCCCAAAAAAAACCGAAAACGGATTTTGCATTTCTCTCCTAAACAGATCAATCCAAGATCTCTCGGATCATGATGTATCAAAGGGACGGAATAATCCTTGCCCAGAGTGGATTATTCGGTTTCTTTGACGCACCAGGATCCGAGAGATCTTGGATTGATCTGTTTAGTAAAGAAACGCAAAATCCGTTTTTGGATTCTTTCGGATTTAAGAATCCAATCTTGGATTTTCTTAAAGAAACGCACCCTAAAATTTGATTTTTATATACTGTGGTTCGAATACCAACTAAATTCAACAATGACACGTTAAAAAAAAGATAGTAAATTTAACATCTATTGTGATTGAATACTTACAGGGACAAGAATATGAACACACACAAGCACTGTGGGGACTGTTTAGATTGTGGGGACATTCCCCATACTTTTTGCTTTTTGATTAAGAACACTGTGCAAACCTTTGACATTAGTTCGATTTGTTTATCGTTTCAACTTCATTGTTTATATTAATTATTCATTAAATAACTTCCTCGTAAAATATTTACCAGTAACCATACAAGGTTTATTCAATCCCTAAATTCTACAGCACTAAATCAGGTCAATCACATTATGGATACCATTATAAACTGAACTTCGACACTTCTGACAACGTGTCAAGATGTCATATCCTCAGACAGTTGTCATTTGGAAAAGAGAAAATATCCCAGGAAAGGACCACCCGATTTATACAAGAGCCCCCTTTTGGCAGGCCAAAACTAAAGAAATGCACAATTTTCCAATCCTGCTGTCGAGTTATCATATTATCTACGCCAAAGTAAAAATCAAAAGAACAAGCAAATAAGCAAATTACTGAAGGGAACAGTGTGGACTACCACTGAGATTCTGAAAAAGACAATGGATACTCTTTGCTTCAGTCAGCATTTTCTTAAGAGTTGGGCTCAGGCAACAATAACATCTGACTTTTTTCCCCTTTCCCTATTTCTTTTAGATATGTGAAAACTCCTGTGACTAGGAATTACCAAGAGAGAAACAAAGCCACAAGATTCGTGAGAGTAGGAGAGCGTGTATGTACACTTCATTTGTCCTTCTTCTTTTACTTCCATGGCATATAAATAATAGAATAATATTCCTTAGAAAAAAGGGTAAAAAACTCCCACAGTAACATATGTAAGGCATTTTCTTTGATTACAATAAAATGCCTTCATAATATTTACCTCATCACTGTCATACTTCTGATTGCTCAAGTCTACAAAAAAAACCCAGACAATCCAGTGTATACATTTACTCTTCAACTATTTAAATTACTATTATTTTTATTTTGACTTTTTGTTTCTGGAGTTCCCCTATGGTGATCTATCAAATGGAAATTTTATCAGGCCCATGAATGCTCATTGCTATTATAATTTTAGTGAAACTGAATAATTATGCAAACAGCAGAAAGCCTATAAGCAATACAAGATATCAAGGACTAGATACTGAAGCAAGTTATTTACAAGCAAATTAACGCATGTAAAAAGAACAAGAAATGTAACCATTTTACAAGTGCAGCATGATGAATTTATAGTGTCTTTTCTATATTGTTTCGCCATTTGTGCCATATTGTAACATTAAAAAAATGCCTGTTATGACTATGTGTGCATAAACTTGTCAGCCTCCCTTTTCTTCACTGCCTAGTTTTTCATGACCCAACTTTTTCAGGGGCCAAAAAAAGATATGACCCTCCCGCATCTACTTTCTCACAAGTTTTTTTCAAGTACAATGTACCTGCTGGTAGATTGCTTCTAACTTCTCCATCACAGGACACAGGACGTTGACTTGGGTAAGCTGCAAAAACAATTAGAAAATCTTCGTTTACATAAATGTACATTCCAACAAAGAACAAGCCTGCGCCAGTTTTGTAACAAATGATGTTTTAGTTCAGCTCTACGTGCTCAGCAGAGCACCATGTGTAAATAGTTTTGTTTTTAAAACCATTAAGCCAAGAAAATTATGTTTTGACATCACCATAAGCGTAAGTGCGCAAGCATCTGTCTCTACAGACCCTCAGGAAGGAGGTGGGGAGTCTTGAGGTAACCCAAACAGGGGAGCTAAAGAATGCCATTTTTTCTCGGGGGGAAATCGAACACATATAATACTGCGCTTTTGGCCAGCCAACATATTTCTGGCTGGAAATAGTATGAAAATCGCAGTTAATAACCGGTTTGAAAGGGAGATGCACTTGTTTTTAGCAAAAACAGAAGTTTAAAAAAGAAAACTTATTCTATTGATACCTCAACAAATGATCAAAGAATTGATTTTAATGTTTTAAGGTAGTTGTAAATTAAGGCTTGAAACCACTGCAAAAACCGTGAACGATCAAACTTGCCCAACGTTGGATCAAACAAGATCGAGATCAGTCAAAAAAAAATATAGAGAATTGAAAGTCAAAAAGATTACTGCAAAGACTGATCAAACAACGTGAAAGACGCTGAGATGTACAATATTTCGACTGGCCGATACCAGTCTTCATCAGGTTTATTAGGACAAATCACGAGTTTACAGAATATATACTGCTGTAAAACAATAAACGGAAATTACCTATGATATGACGTGATACGGTGTAGTTACTAGAAAAAAAAAACTGAAATTGAACCTGTAGTTATATCCAAACTGCAGTTTCAGAACACTTTCTTAGCAACAATCATTCTGTTTCCCATATGTTACTTATACCTATTGAAAAACTTAATAATGAACGCGATTCTTTTAGCAAAGCGCGCAAAGCGCATCTCATCCAAAAAGGTAAAACAATTGAGCCTCTAGGAATTAACAAACGTGAAGAACAATAATCTATCACCATATATTACGCAACTTGTATCAGTTTTCAATTTCAGTTTTTTTTTTCTAGTAACTACACCGTATCACGTCATATCATAGATAATTTCCGTTTATTGTTTTACAGCAGTATATATTCTGTAAACTCGTGATTTGTCCTAATAAACCTGATGAAGACTGGTATTGGCCAGTCGAGATATTGTACATCTCAGCGTCTTTCACGTTGTTTGATCAGTCTTTGCAGTAATCTTTTTTACTTTCAATTCTATTTTTAAGGTAGTGATCCAGAACGTGAAACAGAACGTGAAAGAGAATGGCAGAGAGCAAGAATTAACAAATTAATGCTCTCTTTCTTGAACCCAATCAAGTTTGCACACATCTTTTTTGAGTTTGCTCCCGACAGACTAAAATATTATAAGTACACGTACCTGGCAGCTTTGACACTGTAGTGTCAGAAATTATAATGTCTTCTTCATCAGGGGAAGAGGAACTTCTACTCTGGCTCTCTACACAAAGACACATGCATAAAATCTGATGTCCCTTATAAACAGTTGTGACTGATTCTAGTAAATAAACACTCACTACAGCATTAACTTCATAGACCTGACCACAAGGGACAAGCTTGCACAGTGCATAGATTTACCTTTCACCCAGTTAAATTACCACTATTTTTGTTATGTTTCTGGAGTTCTGCTATGGTGATCTGTCAAATGGAAATATTACTGGACCAATTAAATTTATGTGAAACTGAGAAGAATAATGCTAGCAAACAGCAGCAAGCTTACAAGCAATAAAAGATATCAAGGAGTAGAGACTTAATTAAATCTATTTTGAAATTACTCGTTATCCTTGCAATCTGATTGGCTCAAAAAGACTAAAAAAGTTATGCCCCTTCCCATTAATTCTGCAACCTTCTCAAACGTTTTCTTCAAGTACAGTGTACCTGGTAGATTGTTTGTAACATCTTCATTACAGGACAAAGGACTTTCACTCTGGTAAGCTGCAAATCAATTAAAGGGCACAAAATGTAAACCTTTTTCTATCTAGACCTACATGACAACAAGGAGCAAGCCTGCACCAGTAACATACGATGTTATAGTGGAGCTCCATATGTAAAGTGCATCAGCAGAGCACCATGGGTAAATGGTTTTGGTCTAAAAACCATTAAGCCAAGAAAACTTGGTTATGACATCACCCTACAAGAGAGCGATCGTCTGTCTCTACAGACTCTCAGGAAGGAGGTGGGGAGTATTGAGGTAACCCAAATAGGGGAGCTAAAGACTACCATCATTTCATGATGAGAAATCGCCCATAAATAATACAGCGCTTTTGGGCAGCCAACGTATTTCTGGCTGGAAATAGTATAAAAATCGCATTTAATAACCAGTTTGAAACGGAGAACTTTTTAAGCGAAAAGGTTGCTCCCGAAAACTTACAAAAGAAAACTCATTTCTATTGTTCTCTCAACAAATGATCAAAGAATTGATTTTACCGTTTTAAGGCAGTGTTGAACTGATGCAGAAAGTGAAAGAGAATGGCAGAGAGCAAGAATTAACAAATGCTCTCTTTCTTGCACCTAATCAAGTTTACGCACATCTTAACTCAATATAAACTTTCTAATTCGAGTTCGCGCCCACCCCTGAACCTTTTTGAGTTTCCCCCAACAGACTAAAATATTATAAGTACGTGTACCTGGTAGCTTTGGCACTGTAGTGTCAGAAATTATAATGTCTTCTTCATCAGGGAAAGAGGAACTTCTACTCTGGCTCTCTACACAAAGACAAATGCATAAAATCTGATGTTCCTTACTGTTTAAATTATAAACAGTCGTGACTGATTCTAGTAAATAATCAATCATTACAGCATTAACTTTATAGACCTGACCACAAGGGACAAGCTTGCACCACCTATGCTTGCACAGTGCATACATTTACCTTTCACCCAGTTAAATCTTTAAATACTGCATAAGTCCAACATGAATAACCCTCCCTGTGTGGCTTCAGAAAATATCCATACCCAGTCAGTCTGCTAAAGGAAATTGTACCACATTTACAAAGGGACTAAGTCGTTTAGGAAAGTAATTTGACAATTTACCATTTAATCTATTTTCTTTTAAAAAGTGCTCAAATAAATTGCAGTCTGTTTTCTTTGTATGTATCTTCAGATGTTACGATTGATCGAGAATAAACAGCAGTGACATGCCATGCAGATGGCTAAGTGTTAACTTTAACTTTAACATACTTTCTTGCCAAAACTATTTTTCCAGGGGGTATGGGGGGTGTACATAAAACTTTTGGAAATTCCGGAGGGGTGGGGGGTTATTTTTGCATTCAAAAAATGGAAATTCCGGGGAGGAGGGGGGAGTTGCATGAAATTCCCTCTGTGGTGGGGGTATGGATAAATTATTTTCTGGAACTATATGATGCATAAAATCTGATGTCTCTTACTCTTTAAATTAGAAACAGTTGTGAATGATTCTAGCAAACTAACACTTATTACAGCATTAACTTCATAGACCTGACCACAACAGAAAAGCTTGCACAGTGCATACATTTACTTTTCACCTGGTTAAATTAGTAGTATGCTTATGTTCCTTATTATTATCAAATGGTGATCTAAAAAAAATTACCAGGCCCATGAATGCTGATTACTTTTAAAATTTTAGAGAAAGTGAGTAGAATAATGCTAGCAACAGCAGCAAGCCTACAAGCAATAGAATATATCAAGGAGCAGAGGCTGAAGCAAGTTATTTACAAGCAAATTAAATTAGCACTAATGCCAGCTGTAAAAAGAACAAGAAAGTTACTTATTTTGCAAGTGGAGCATGATGAATTTATATTATATTTTCTACATGTCTATGGTTTCGCCATTCCTGCCATAAAATAATATTAAAACAAAATGCCTGTTATGATTATGGGTGTATAAGCTTGTGACCCTTCCCTTTTCCTCGCTGCTTAGTTTTGCATGACCCAACTTTTTCAGAGGATAAAGAAGTTATCACCCTCCTCCCCTCCCACCACCCCCCTCTTACTACTTTCTCACAAGTTTTTTTCAACTGTTAGGTACAGTGTACCTGTTGGATTTCCTGTAATATTTCCATCACAGGACAAAGGACTTTGACTCTGGTGCACTGCAAAAACAATTACCGGTAATTAATTAATCAATCAATTAATTTATTTATTACAGGTATAACACACAGAAAGATGAACAGATGGGTCCCAGTATAAAATGTACTCCCATTGTAACAAACAAAATTCCCCAGTCCCTTGGCATGTTCTATTAAGGTTAGCAATTAAAACTGGTTCCTTTTTGTGAGTAGAATTTCACTAAAACATTTTTGCACTTATAGCTCGAACTTTGAGTGGAATCTGTCTTAATTAAATAAATGCACATGTTGTAGTTAATTTTTTATCTCAGGTAATTTTTATTTTTCTTTTGTTTCAACTTCATTAGCATATATTACCATACCCAAAAACAAAAGAAAAATAAAAATTACCTGAAATAAAAAATTAACTACAACACATACATAAAAAACTATTTGTTAGTACCAGCTAAGAAGGGCTCTTTAATTTCAGGTAAAACCTTACAGGTACAAACTGTTTGATCCAGTTGTCCATTGAAACCCTCTGAATCTTCAGATCTGTTGATTTAAGAGTTTGGTATTGTGAATGTACAGTATATTTTTTCCATAAAAACCATCAGTTATGATTTAATGCAAATGAAATCTGTTTTAAGCTTGACCAACCGTAATTTCATTGCTATGATTTCACTAGCCATTTCCATTCTGAACCTTGAAATATCAACCTATTTAAGAGGAATACACACAGTCAACATGTTTTTATGCAAAGGTAATGTAGCTAAGTCTATTAATTTAGTACATAAATTTAATTATTATATGGCAAGCTCTGCGAGCGGGCAAGATGAGCAAATCCTATGTTCTGATTGGCTACCCGAGCGGGCAAGATGGGCCCATCTTGCCTGCTCACGATTTCCCACGTTGATCCCGAAAGAAAAGATTTTGTTTTAGGCCATATAATAAATCCTTTATTGACCAAGGTTGTTCGGTCAAGATGGCTGAATATTGGCCTCGTTCTTTTTGGCGTTTTTATGACCTCGACTTCGTCTTGGTCCATAGAAACGCCAAAAAGAACTCAGCCAATATTCCGCCATCTTGACTTCACGCTTGGTCAATAACGCATCTATAACGGGGTTCATTAGGGCAAGAATGAAATCCCACAAGTAAAATTTTCAGGATACAAAATATTAAATTACAGTAGCATAACTGAATAAATATGGCGCCATCAAAATATATTCAACAGAACAGAAATGAAACAAAGACAGAAACCAACAGATAACGATCTGAATCAACTATTGTGACTTAGAAGTATTAGTTTTTACAACTAAAAAATGGTGTTTTCACACCGTTTATCAGTCGTTGCTTTACTGGCAGCTGTCGAGAGATAATTACTTTCACTAAAGTTCGAACGCACTTTAGTGGCCATTATGGTTGTGGAGAGGTAAATATAGGAGTGAATGTTTGGACGTCCACTAGGGTATTACAAAGTTGTCATTGAGAGAGGTAGCCAGATTTGACTGTGTTTATTTACCTGACTGAAAGAAAAAGGTTTCCCAGATATTACAAAGTCCACAAACTATAGAAAGGGAAAGAGAAAGATTAACACTTTTTTTACTAAGGTTGAAAATAAAAAAGTCAAGTATTGATCTGCAATAAGTTAATTTAAGCAGAAAAAAGGAATAACAAGAATCAAAAGTTAAAATATAAACACTCTCTGTCAAGCATAACGCAATGTGTGCTGGCCGAGACAAGATTTCATATACATCCTGACTGAGTAGCCCATCAATATGTAAGTTTACACTTATTATATGTCGTCAATATTAAGTTTGGTATAAAGTTTGGCTGTAACTGTTATGTGAAGCGCTAGGATAAAATAAATTGCAAAGCTTGTTCAGCTCTGTGCCAATCAGATAACATGTGAACCCATCTGATAGTATTTTTGGTTCCATGAAAGCTTAAGCTTGTGGGGACCCATTTTTATTAACCAAAGATGACTAAAATCTGACATCACAAAATAATTATGTTGTTAAAACCTGCACTTCTGTAAAAGGCAACATTGAAAGGCAAAAATCTTGCTGCAAAGAAATGGACTGGGTTAACAAAGGACACTAGAAGTAAAGTAGGCACTAATGAAGTGAAAAGCAAAGTTTGACTGCTATCAGAATTTATTGTAATTAATTTTGATTCTCTCGATTTTTAGTTGTCTGCATTTAGAGTTTTATATGATCATCAATAACATTGCTGATTTCAAACTAAGCATAAACTCCATGTTAAATAAAGTAAAGTCATATCATTATGATGGTGCAATAAATAGAGTGAACAACCACTGTAGGTCAATTGCTGATGCTGACGACTATGAAATAGATACGGGTACATGTACTGACAATTTATTGACATGAATTATCTAGAATATTGTCAACTATGCATTACTTTACCTTCAGTGAGAAAATTCCACAATCAAATGAATTAGACTGCTTGGGAGTATCTTCAGCAATGAACTGCTTCCAATCCACTGAAGTCCATTCTTTTCCAAACCACCTGTGAACTCTTTGAACTAAGTTTCTGTTAAGTGAGCCAGTGCATAATTAAATTAGGGGATGTTCATTTAGAGAACGCTGATTAGCAATGTAATATATTAAATAAAACTGAAAGATGAGCAACTCTAAATATTAATTAATATAATAATTTATTGATCTAAACTCGTTGGAATGTTTTAAATATGATTCAAAGGACTGTACAAGCTGAGGTCTTGGCCTGTGTGGCAGTCCTTACTCGCCAGTTAAAGGTGTTAGTAATAATACACTTAAAAATTACTTGATGTATTCGTATGTAAGAACAGTGCAGCTCAAGCATAATAACATCACCAGCGCAAAAAGTGTACGTACCATCAGAGCAATTAATTTAAAACAAACATTGCCAAAATTAGTACGTACAAAAACACTTTAAGACAAGACTACTGCCAGCGAGTAATCTCAGGTATTCGGAAGGTGGTTGAAGTAAACCCAAAGCCTTCCAAAGATACATACTTAAATTTTATTAGACCTTTTCCAACACTTCTGAAGGTATAATAATTATGTAATTTACAAATATCACCTGAACATTTTCACACAACTCTGACAATCACACAAACCTTTCTAACGAGTTCCATAGATCATTCAAAGATTAATTGCCAATTAATGATCACCCAAGGATTGCCAAAGACTTTTGAACATGGTCAGAAGTTTTGCAAAACACAGAATTATTAATGCTCGCCAGAGTTCCCATGGCAGATGTCAGCACTTTTAATCTTAATGACAGACCTTGTTTCACTTGAAATATTATTATTAGATTTACTTTTTTATGAGCCTCAACTTAAAAATCATATGTAGAGTGTTATCATTGTCTTCCGTAAGTGTATCTTTTATAATATTATTAGCTTACCTGACTGTCTGGAGATGCGTTATGTCTTTAGTATCACCTTCTTCATGATCAATGGAATCATACAGGCACAAAAACTTGTCAGTCAAGTTTACTATCTAGATCAGTGCCAAAAATATAACACCATTAAAAAGGAAGCCCCCACAACATCTACAATATTGAGTTAAGTTAGGATCAATCATGAAAAGAGAAAAGGATGTCTATATGTAGACTGCCTTCAAAACGAAAAGTAAAGAAGCCCTTTGGACTTTCAAAATAAAAAACAGATTTTAATCAAGCCCAAGCCATCATATTGAGGGGAGTCTGGACTTGCCCATGTCATCACTGGTAAATCCATATTTGGTTTTCACATCTAAGACCAGTCTCCCTAGTCTTCAGTACCAATTTACTCAATAGAGCTGATAATTAATAAAATAAAAATAATGTGAAATATGAACATGTTTTATTATGGGCCCGGCCTTTATGTAGAAATTTTACGTATCAAATAAATCAAGACTTCACTGATTTTGGCTCATCTGTATTCTAATTACATTGCAATTCACTACTCCTCATAGAGAAATCTGGTCACTGACACTAACAACGTAGGCGTCCAAGGCTACCAGGGGCCAACTAAGCAATGGCCTTGAATCTCATGATCAGCAGCCTTGAAGTTCTGTCTGGATAGACAGAAAACACTTCTTTAAGGAGCTTGGACTGCACAGCTTCTGGTCAGGAGTAGTTGCACAGTATATCTATAACTATAAATTTTCTATCAGCCACAGCTTTTTAAGTTTTAATTACCACAGTGTACTTGATCTACTTACTATTACTTTCCAGTGTGCTTCATCATTGATGGGAATAACCCAAGCCTCCTTATTCAACAGATTGGTCTATGAATGAAAAAAGTAACAAAAAACAATTAAAAATGATTGATATTGCATGTCAAATCAAAGATATCATTCTTTTAAAATCTAATTCTGTGATAGAGAGACAGAGCATGCAAGAGAAATGAAAAATAAATCCAACCTAAAATATAATGAAGACAATATTTATTAAGAAAAAATTATTAACTTTAGAAAGATTATAATTAGACTGAGAGAGAGAGAGACAGTATTCAGCAATTCTGCTTTTCTGGCAATTTATGTCCCTTTTGTTTTACAGTTGATGGGCTGGAAAGTAACAACCAGGAGAACTCAATATATATCTGCCCAATCAATTACCCCCAATTTCGATGTGGGGCAAAAAAATATCCTAGTTCATAGTAGCAATAACATATTGACTATCTTCACAGAGCTCCGAGAAAATTGAGACAGTAGACACTAGCAGTGCTAAAAAAAGACACTAGCAGTGCTAAAATTTTGGTTGTCCTGGGAAAGTTGACAACTTGCCTGAGCTCTTACCAATTGGGCAAATGCAAAGGGTCCGGATAATCTGCGAGCCAGCGAGCCATGCGAGGCGTGCGAGCCATGCGAGGCATGCGAGCCATCGGAAAATATAAATTTTTAATAATATTCTAATTGGAAATAGTTCGTTTTGTAATTGGTTTTGCTGCTGGAAATGTGCTTTCAATCGCGAATATTAAACCGCGATGGCTCACGCGGTGGCCATGTTATTTTGGACGCGAACAGTCTGGGTCGAGGGAGAGCGACAAATTTTGACTTTCTCTCCCCTCTCTGATAGTCTTTCTCTCCTGTTTCGTTCTTGCGAACCGTTCAGCGTGCTCGTGGCCGGATCTTCAAAAAATCTTCACTCCTTTTGGACAATCCAGTTCAGTCGAATCAATCTAGCAATAAACTGCTTCTAAAAGTGAGTATTTACCTGATTTACCTTTGCTTTAGTCTGTTGTCAGCTGTTTTGTGCAATGAATTCTTCATTATTGCTAATGTTTTGTGTATTTTATTTAGTTTGCAGATGGCAAATCGACGTACGCAGTGTCTCGTTGAAGCAACGAAGCGTGGTTTCACGCTAAACATCGATCCAAGCGGGGAAAGAAACCGTTGCTTCTATCAGTGTTTGAAGTTTTTTAAAAGTGGCATACCACGTAATCAAGAGAAAGGATTTAGAAACCTGTTAGAAACGCTTTGTGCGTTTTGAAAACGATACGGTTTCATCGTTCGTGTAGATAGATTTTCAGATGGCTCGCATGACTCGCTGCCATGGCTCGCAAGGCTCGCATGGCTCGCTTGTATGACTCGCATGGCTCGCTGGCTCGCACTGTATCCAAACTCAAATGCAAATGAGAAGTGGGTGTCTCAAAGTTCCAAGAGGTGATCCAAGACCTAAGACCTACATGTAAGTAGTCCCTCTCCGAATTTAAAAAACTAAGAACCGAGTTTGCTTTAATTTTAAACTTAAATCAACAACAGGTGTAAATTTTGCAGCCTGCTAAAGCATAAAAAGTCTTTAAAATTCATGCTGATTGATGTTGAACTTGTGCACATGATACTGAACTTGTTACATGTACATGTATATGATTGTGATTTACCTTTGTACGTCACCTTTTCTGTGTCATGTTACATTGTTGGTGTTGGTAATTAGAGCAAATCCTCTTGAAAAGTTAACCATTTCATTGTCCTAGTCCCTGTTACATTGTCCTGTGCAGTGACATTGTCACATTTTCGAACAAGATATATCAAAGATTGATTGAACAGCAAGAAAAATAATTTTGGGCTGCAAAAGTTACACTGTTCTGATGATTTAAGTTTCAAATTAAAGCAAAACAGGTCTCAGTGTTTCAGTTTCAGAGGGGATCTCACGTTGAAGTTTTTGAGATTTGGAGTGGGTCTTAGGTCTTAGATCTTTGGTCTTAGGCTTTTCCACACCCATGAAAAGTTTCTTGGTTAGCAGCAAAATTTAATTACTTGCCCTGGCAACCAGACATCCCTTGTTTTAAGCTCTAGCTACCTTTACAAATAATAAGAGTCGCAACTGACTGACAAATACATAGTTAACTATATAATTAATTACCTGACAAACAGAATCAAGAATATTTTCTGGTGCACTGCTTTCAAATCTCTTCAATCGTTGGAAAAAAAATGAGTTGAAAATGTAGATTGCTTTGCCCTTTAAATTTGAAAAAAAAAAAAAAGAAAAAAACAAGGTACATTAATTATTTTGCATCCCCATTATTTTTGTTGAAGTGAAAATATGTAGCCAACAAATCTCACCATCTTTAGAAACTTCCTGGCAAGAAGTGCATTATATGCATTAATACCCTACAAAAAAGATAAGTAAGCATGGTTGTAGTTAGGAAATCTTCAAACATCTGTAAAAATGACTGCACTCTAGATTGAAATACAGACAAGTACAGTATTATGAAATGAAAAATGTGTGCTGAGAGAATAGGACAGATATGAAAACTTCTTGCTTCTCTCTCAGGACTACAGGTTAACACACTCTGGTAGTCAATTTTTCTTAAACGTATGTTAAAGTTGAATGACGTTTTTTTTCTCCTCTCCAAAATCTATTGCATATGCGTAGCTTAATTTCCAAAAATACAGACTAAAGTTTTCTCAAATTTCTTAGATCCACGGAATGTTGTTAATGAAAGATGTTAATTTCACTTCACATCTTCAAATAACTGCAGGGTTATAAAATCTCACAAGAAGAACACCATTTCAAAAGCTACATGCATTAAAACAAGAAGTATATAGTATGGTACTTTGACACTCAGTCCACTCATTCGTTGGGTATGAAAATTAAAAAAAAAAGCCCACTTGACAACCAAGTGCAAATAGTTAGTTGCCAGACAGTGTAAATCAAATCCAGACATGCTGGCGATCCCAGCGGTCACAACGTTGAGCTCTGTGAAAGATGCAAATCTACAACTGTGTAAATTCAAGTGCCTCTAGTAAAGCACACCTCGTCATTTATCCAGCACTCTTTAGGTTCTAGGCCAGGTTTCCATCGCTGAAATCGTTGTAAGGACTTGGCAGATATGCAATTACTCTGATTCATGGAAGACTGATCTCTTGACTCGTTGTTATGTCTATTGGGAAGTGTACATTAATATTGCTGGTAAGAGAATCTATATGTAGCATATCAGCATTCTTCAGGTTAGCAGTGTTATATATCCACATTATCTGTCCTGTCTTCGCTCACTTTGCTATTACTGCTTTGCACCTTCCCATATTTCACTTGCAAACTGTCTTTATTCTCTGAATCATGAATGGTAAAATGGAATGATTTGAGCAGAAATCCATTAGGTTTATGACAGAAAGAGTATAGCTACATGTATTGAGAGTCACATTTCCATATAAAATTAAACAACAATCTAATGTAATGAAAGGAAAGACCAAGTGAAAGACAGGTTGCAGACTAGTATACAACATCAGTTGTTTCATTGCTGCCACTGTGAAATGGCACACAACATTGCAAGCTTCACAGAACTTCAGGAATATCTCAGAAAAGACCAGAATTTAGTAGAATTTAGAGTAAGTTTAGACCAACTTCCAGACTCCACTGATAATATAAAAATATTGACCCTTATATAATTAATTGTCTTATTAAGGGTCTTATTAATACAAATTCTCTATAAAAATTAGTTAAGAATAAAAACTCATTTACACTGAGAACTAGAAATGTGACTACCTGTAACATAAAGCTCTATTACTGTACACATGTATTCGGAAGTCAGCCAAGCGCGGTCATTGCACACGTGCTGAACAAGAATGCTGTATAATGACAGACTAGAAACAATAGACAACTCCCAAAGCACAAACTCAACCAAAACGCTAAAAATCTTCAATGATTACTCAAGTTTGGGCTTATAGTAGATAATGTCTCAGTTTTTCAATGACCATGAAATTCCGAGTCCGGGTAGTTAGTTAATCAATTGTGGCCCGAAAAAATTTGAAGGAAAAAAAACTACGAATTTTTAAGAAAATGCTTTTTTCGTGAGAAGGACTCTAACACGCTGACAAACGTCAACAAATAGCGAAAACTATAATTTCTATATGTTTGCTTTGCTCGAAATCGCACGCATTTACGAGGCCCTAAAGCGCTTTGCTGACTTGCAAGGATCCATTTGTTATAACGATGCCCAAAATAAAGGGATGAATCTCATAGTTTATTAGATATAATCGTGTAAAGTTTGCTTATCATTTTTGCATAAATTATGACCTAAATTTGGAAACCGCTAAATTTCTCGAATTGGGTCTTTGCGATTTTGGTGAAACTCTGTTCAGCGCAAGGCACTAATGCGCACTATGTGTAGCCGAGAGATTTGCACGAAAAAATGCCGGCAAAGCAGATTTTCGACTCAGACCTCAAAGGGGTGTGGCATTATAACCACGTGACATTTACTCCGATCACCAAAAATTTTCTGTTATAATTTATTGTAGATTGATCTATATGTTATCCATTCTATGTGTTAGACTTACGATAAAAGTAAAGGTGGGGATACCAGAGAGCTTCAAAGTAGGATGCTACTCCCCAAAAAAACTGGGTCGAGTCACCTTTTATAATACTCACAATAAATTTATCTTCAAAATAATTACAGCTAGGATCCAATTACCTTTGATCTTGTGCCAAGGAAGATCTTTAACGCCATAGTCATAGCGTAATTCTTCTCCTATCTTTATATCTCTAAGGGCATAGAGGACAAGATATGTCTCACTTCCTTCTTTAACTTTTCGCATCACAGAATTACTTTTATTTGAAGGAGCATCATTTACTAGTCTCCCAAGACCTTTTGAGAATGTGGCATCAACACTGAAAGATGAAAAAAAAAACACTCACTGCAAAAAGAGAACCAATACCATGTCCTTACAAATACTAAACAAATTCAAAAGTAGGTTGAGATTGATCATCCGGGTGAACATAGTCCTGAATAGGACTGTTGTTGTTGACAGTGACTGACGTTTCGACAACCTGTGCGGTAGTCATCTTCAGAGTCAAAGTGAGTTGTATCATGTGAGTTGTACAGTAATGTGACACTGACTCTTGTGATCGTTCAGGAGTAGGAATATTTCCATGCAAAAAATCGTCTCGAAAAACTTTGCGTTTTTGTCTTTTGCTGTGAAAGAAAAATTTTGTTGATGAACATATTTTTCATCTGGCAACCCTGAGTACTCCCGGCCTCTAACAGTAGCTCTGGAAAAATGTCGCCCTCCCCCCGGAAAAAATCATGCAGCGATAAGCCATTTATAGATTTCCAAAGAAGATCCGGAGATGATTTGGACAATACTTGAGTCTAATTTCAAATTAACTCTAAACCCCCTCCCCACCCACCCCCGAATAAGACAAGTTTTTTTTAGGGCAGGTGGAAGGAACCTCAGGAAAGGGGGAGTACAGTACAGTTGTCAGTTTGTCAACCTTGTGAGCTATAGCCTTGTGCTCTCCACGGGAGATTAAAGAGAAGGGGGTGCTTCCATATTTTAAAACTCTAAAAAAGGGGGAAAAAGAAGAGAAAGTATGAACAAAAGACTTAAAGTGTTATGATTATTGTCAACATGAAAAATTACACGGAAAAGAAAAAAAAAAGTGATGTTTTTCACCTCACAAAAACGTGATTTTTCTGGGGAGGAGTGTAATTTTTGCGGGAGTATTGGGAGAGGAGTACTCAGGGTCCGAAATAAATTTTTTTAGGCAGGCGCCAACTTGCGACTGAAAAATAGTTCAGTCATCAGATGGAAAATGTGTTCACCAAAATAGTGTCAATAAATTTGTTCCTTCACAGCAAAACACAAAAAACACGAGTTTTTCAAGACAATTTTTTGCATGAATACATTCCCACTCCTGAGCGATCATAAGAGTCAGATTCCACATGTAAAGACATTAAAATATTGTGTAGCTTAAAATAATTATGGTGTAGTTGAAATGGAGTTTTCATCAAATAGATAGCTCTCTTAGTTTGGAGACTGCGGACAAAACATTTTCTTCTTACATGCCCGGTCAGTACAAATCCTTCAGAAGCCACGCAAAAACAAAGCACTTGTTTCTGAAAAATGCACCCATGGTATCAAGTTTTGGGGTCTTAGGGGTCTTTGTTTTCAAGACGCCCCACTGGTAACAAAAGTTAAGCTTGAGTCCTGTGCAGTTTTGGCTATTTTTTGAGATCGCTTTTCATTGCAGTTTGCAGATTTTCCATTTCTTAGCATTTGGTTTTCAGTTTTCATCAAAAATACTAGGAGTTTTTTGAATTTGGCATCTGATGTGGTTTTTCAGTTTTTCCTGCAGCCATATAATTATATGGGCTCTGGTTTCTATTCAATCTGAGTGATTATTATACGTCTCCACTAATCTTGAATAGTTGTGAAAATGCAAAAGTTGCAGCAGTTAGCTCCCTCTTTGCAATCACATGTTAGACCAAGCTAGTCGGGTCACATGTAGCAATTTTGGTCACGTCCTCCCACTTGAATTCAACCGGAAACAAACTTGTTTAGTGAACCTTTGTACATGTACTTTGGGGAAATTATAACCTTGGATGCTATATTCAGAAAGCCTTAACTTTTTTATTTTAATGAATATACCTTCGTAATCTACAATTCTTAAGCTTTCAGAAAATGTATACTTTACTGGGGTTTGCATGAAATGTGGCACGAACAAATTATGGTCATTTGGGTATACTGATACCTTATATGAGCCGTATGAATGTAAGCCTGTCAGTAAGCTCAAATCTCTGGTCCATCCAGCTGTGATCTAGGAAGGGACCCAGGGACCTCCTCTATCAACAATGGCCTCCCTGGCGGCCGTCCCCTGGCTGCTGCCCATATAAAAATTTTTATACTGACCATTTTTATTTTGTCAGTGTTTCGAAAGAAAGACTGTATTCCTAGCAGGCTTACCAAAAGCACTTGATACCATCTTTAAAAAAAAAGAGGAAGCTTCCCAAATCTGGATGATACGAGTCTTCTCTCCGATATCCTTCATCTGCTGTAACAAGTTCTCCTTTGTAGACTAGAAGAAAATCATCTTTGGAAAACGTTTTTGTTGTGAACACGCCTCTCCCTAAAGAAACAACAACATAATAAATATAATTATACAAGATTTATAATTATCTACATGTAACAAAAGTGTGCATGTGGACAATACAGAAGCTTGAACAATGATCAATTTGAAACTTACAGTGACATTATACAAATGCATTGTTACAGAAAATAATGTAGGGAAAATTAAACCTAAAATATAAACATACTAGCTGTATAATCATAAATAGCTACATTTGTTGGCCTTCCCCTGGATTTCTTTGTTTTCAGTTAAAAAATTATTTTCCAAGAGAGCATCAGTAGTTTGGGACAATCTTACCATGGAGCCTAGCCTGCAGGGATGGAAAATTGCTCACCATTCAAATGGAAACTGCAGACTGCAGTCACTGGCCAGTGGTAAAATGCAGACTGAGGTACAAAATACAGACTACTTACAGATTGGCCACATGCATTAATTAATATTGCTATCAAAATTAAAGGAAAGTCACAAAGGCTGGTCACACTGGGTTTTGGCTCGCCTGGTGATAAATAGATAAATTCCATGGTCACAACTTTTTAATCTGTTTCAATGAGTGAAACTGGTGCAGATTAAATCCTTCTGCAGCTCTGGAGGCTCAAAAGGGTTTTTTGGCAGTGCTGAGAATGGATCCCAAGATGCACGCAAGCAAAATTATTACCTACATGTATAAGAAAAACATGCGATACCACGCACAATGGCATTCATGTGCAAGTTGTAAATATGGCCTTCTCAAGTAAATTTAACATAATTGATCCAGAAAATGGCACATGCTAATCTTTTCTATATAACACACTCCAAGCTCTTTATGAAAAATACCGGTATATATGATCTGAATGGATTGTACGGAGAACTAGTATAGCATTGGCGATTTGGCACCAGTGTAACAACTACTAATCAACATGTCTGGATCAATAAATCAGTTTCCTTAAAAGTGGCATCCAACAAGAGAATTCTCTCCATAATACTTTGACAATTCCAACAGTCATCAAGGTAAGCAGTCTGAATCTCAAGCAGTGATTATCTTCTGGAATGTTTGCACATCATAACTTCACAGAACAATGTGAAATCCAATTTCAGAAATGCTCTTGCACATGTTCTCTGAATAAGAACGTGTGAAGCTTTTCGCTCGTGAGGATGAGCTGTCAAGTCAGCCATTAATTCTTCAAAACACAACACCAGAAACAGAAATGTGAGTGTAAATTGCGATAACCAGAAATAAAGCTTGAATGTCAAAAGTTAGCTTGGTGACCCACCCTGATATTTTTGTATGCAAATAAGATTCGTTATTTCGCATTCATAAACTAAGAAAATTCTAAAAAATCTATAGTGTAGACTTCGATTCCTACAGCTCTTTCCTAAGTAAATCAAGTTCTACAGTATTGTTTTTTCTCCTATCATGTATTAGACTATCTAGAGAATTTGATGGGTTTTTCTAAATAATATTTTAAAAAAAATACTAGGTCACTGAATTGATTTTTAAGTTGCTTTTGAAAAACTCAGAGCTTTAACGGATCTTTTAGCAGCACTGTACCATTGTTATAGCAACCATTGGCACATTGCAAACACCATTAAAAAATTGTTTTATTCAGATGACATCTGATAGGGGCAATAGTGTTGTAATCTGTCTTCATTGGACACATAATTATTGTTAACCATGGAAAACCATTCAATTTGTTAGCATATCTGGCTTACAAACGAAGAGAACCTTTAAAATGTGATTGCTGCATTTTATATGTAGGACATTAATGACCAAATATGTGTCAGGAAAGAATTTAATATTTCGTTTGTATGCATTCACACCAGCCTACTTACGGGGACAAGGATATAGAAACACATCAGAACTGTGGGGTCTGTTCAGTTAGTGGCGACATTTTGAGGTCCCAAGAAAAAAGTCCCCTTAAATCAGCTCTTTATGGCATCTAAACCATAGAGCTGGAGTCATTAAAGAGGTCCCCAAAAGTTGGTGAAAATGTGTGATCAGTTGTGAAACATGTGGGTGCTGAAAATTTTCATGAGGGTTAAAAAACAGCAGTTATCCTCTAAGATAAAGATATCTGCTTTAAGTATTACTAGCAAGGCCTTTTCCTTCTGAAGAGTTTAAGTATACATGATGCCTTATTTGGGCAAAGGTGATGAAGTCAGAGGTGGAACAAAGGCCATCGCTCCCCCCTCAGGCCAATTTGGGCTGGAACAGATGCTACATGTACATCACTTGATTTTAAATACTGTAAGCTTGGAAACTAACCACTCACAGGGTAGTAAGCTTGTATTATAGCATGTGGACCCTTATTATAAAATAACCCTCCCAGCATAATTTATTATCAAGAGCATTATAGTACATGGGATTTAGCTAAAAAAAACTAGGTATTCAAATGTTACCTATGAATTCATTAATGAACCTTTCTTCAAAGCCTTCTTGGTCTTTGCCTTGAAATCTTCCACAAGGTTCCTTAAAAGTGACAGTGAACTTCAAATTAGCAACCTATTTTTATATTCCAGAAAATCTTGCAAATTAAAATGGGTAAGGTAAAGTCTGCATGAGAGCCTAGGTCAGGAGCTTGATCTTATTTGCCTCTTTCCCATGCCCCAGAGATTTCTAGGGGAGGTTTTTTTAGCTCACGCTGATTGAAAACAAACATGGCCTTGTGTGTCATGGTTTTCTCCTAGGCAGCAAAATTTTGTTCTTAGAACCAAAATACACTTTTGAAGAGCTTGAAACGGTAAGGAATAATTAGCATCAAGAAGAGTCTGCGAATGGTTCTTCAAGGTGATTATAATGACTCAGAAGCAATGATATTGTCCTTTGGGTTGCACAAAGGTCTGAATCAAAAGCCTTCCTGAATAAGACTTAGTAGCATGTTAACCAAAACTGCATGCGCTATGGAACAAATGTGGACAAGATCAAAATTATGGACTTTTTTATCCACTGTACGTATGACAATATCACCAACCTCATTCCCAGGGTCCTCTCGCTTCCTCAAGAAAGTACCCTGGTTACAGCTGGTCAAGTGTCTATGTATGCCAACCCAAGCCACACAGAGGGTGGGTTCTCAACTTAATTTTGTCATTACTGTCTAGGGAGGCGAATGTTCCACTGCTACACAGACATTATTTTGAAAGGGAAGCAAGTTATTTCACAGGCGGCCCAGACGTAGTATGTGTCACTGAATGAATATATTAATATCCACATGGACAAATTAATGCGATGAGTCGTCGAAACTCCCATGGACTAAAATAGTCTAAAAGTCAAAATATAACAAAACAAAGCTAAGATACCTTCAACTGAACGTATCCTTGTCTTTCCTGGCCGGTTTAAGTGGCATTTTGTTGAGTTTTGAAATTGTAGGTACTATCCACTAAAGAAGAATTAAAGGCTGGCTACAAAACAAACAGACCATCTTCACGCGCCTTCACACGAAGCGCTATAAATTCGAGAATAATCGACGAATCTGCTCCAAATAACCATCGGCTAATCTGCAGGTAACGTGTGCTCCTGCTTCTGGCTCGCTTGCTCGACAAAACCCATTGCAACTGCACAATAATTGCTCGCTCATCAACAACCACTGTTGACCTTTACGCTTCGATATGACCGCAAACGACCAGGTTTAATACGCCGGCGTGGCCGCGGCGTGAATATTCAAGCTTAGCGACGCGTTCGTGCAACAATGCAGCACTTGCTATGGGAGGGATGGTACTATTGCTTCTAGGTCAATCGACTGACCGAAGGTTAGCTGCGTTAGTTTTGACCAGAAAACAAAAGGCGATTGTGGGACCGTCCGTAGTTTTCAACAGGGCAGCCCTGGTTTTCAAGTTCGAATTCTTCTAACGTTAAGCTGTCTCAGCTGCTGTCACATTGTTCGTCCAGCCGCTTGCATAGGTTCTTGACTCTACCAGACTTATTTGCTTAGATTAACAACGTCTTACTCCATAATATGTTGTCCAAACTGGTGAAGGAGGACGAGAATTTTCCGCCCAGGAAAAAGGCAAAATCTGGCCCCCGCTATGCAGCTGAATAGAAGATACAGCTGAAGATATCGTAAAGTAAAATTTATGTGCGCGATATCTTTTATTATTATTATTATTATTATTATTCTCAAAACTAAGGGGCACCCAACGATGATTTCCCCCTAGAGGCATTGAAAACACATTTAAGGCTGTCCAGAGTACTTTTGATCGAAGAATGCATTCTAAACAGCGCTTACATAAATTTAGTCAGGAGGGCTAAAAGCGAAGCTAATGCTCATACTAAATATAAAATATATCGTGTAATGCTAAGCGGAGAAGGCAACGAGACAAGGCCACCCAACGACTGTTTCCTCAAATACTTTCAATTGAAAACACTTCTGCAGCTATTCATAAAGTACTTTTACCTCTATAGAAATGCATTCTAAGTGGTGCTATAAAATTTGCATCTCAGTGTTCGGCCATTCTAGAGGAACTTGAGTCTTTTCGAAATTACGAGGAATTCAGAATTATTTTCCCGAAAATTTTAGATGCAATTTAACGTATTACGAGGGGATAATTTTTCAGATACCTTCTTTCATCACATTTTTGAATCCGAAAATTTTAGGATTCCATTTTACTCACTACGAAAAATAGCCTAACCCGGTGAGTGAAATGTGAAAAATTAAAAGTTGGATGCCCTTGACCAGAACTGTGAAAAACAACAATAGGTCTAATTGCAGCACACTTTCTTGTACATTTCCTTGCCGTTGATTTGCATGACTGCAACGCGAAACGTCCAGAAAACTTCCTGGTTTTCACTTTTTATGGAGAAAATGTGGTATATGTTCTTGTTCACTTTTTCCACTGCCGCTCATTTTTTTTAGCTCCGCTATAAGATTCGTATCTGTTCGGTGCTCCTTGGGCAAATTGGATCTTTTTAAAAATTACATGGGCTTCAATATTATTTTCCCGATTGATTGACCTGAAAGCAATAGTACCATCCCTCCCATAGCAAGTGCTGCATTGTTGCGCCGAACGCCGTCGCTAAGCTTGAATATTCACGCCGCGTCCGCCGCCGTATTAAACCTGGTCGTTTGCGGTCATATCGAGCGTAAAGGTCAACAGTGGTTGTTGATGAGCGAGCAATTATTGTGCAGTTGCAATGGGTTTTGTCGAGCAAGCGAGCCAGAAGCAGGAGCACACGTTACCTGCAGATTAGCCGATGGTTATTTGGAGCAGATTCGTCGATTATTCTCGAATTTATAGCGCTTCGTGTGAAGGCGCGTGAAGATGGTCTGTTTGTTTTGTAGCCAGCCTTTAATTCTTCTTTAGTGGATAGTACCTACAATTTCAAAACTCAACAAAATGCTACTTAAACCGGCCAGGAAAGACAAGGATACGTTCAGTTGAAGGTATCTTAGCTTTGTTTTGTTATATTTTGACTTTTAGACTATTTTAGTCCATGGGAGTTTCGACGACTCATCGCATTAATTTGTCCATGTGGATATTAATATATTCATTCAGTGACACATACTACGTCTGGGCCGCCTGTGGTTATTTGTCAGAGATCCTGCCTGACCAGTGCTTCATCTCAACCTGAACCTCTGTGAGTGTGAGATGTTGATTGAGAGGGAACTTTGCTTACATTTCACTGCTTTTTTTAAATAACCGTCAACAACCTGCAAGGGATCAGTTTAATCAGTTTTTCACACCAAAAGATTTAAATAACCGTGAAATTATCGATGGGATGCTTTCAAGCAGGAGCTACTTTGTTAACTGAGAATTGGATTTACCACTAAACAGTTTTAAAACGAAAGCCGCTGGATTTTGCAAATGTTCAACAAAATTTTTCACTGTAAGAGAATCGAATGACCGTCAAACTTTCGATTGCATGAATTCAATCAAATTCGAAGCTAGTCTCTTTGCCAAACACTGGATGTATCAAACTGTAAACAAAGGCATCAATGCCTCCATTGTGATTTTGCCAATCGAAAAATATAAGCTGCTTAATCAAGCTTATTCAGCACGCAGACGTTGTTGATGTCAAGTTCAAGGAAATGACAGTCAAACTGTTGATGGGAATAATTCAGTCAAATCCAAAACTACCTTTGTAGGTGCACGTACGACATATGTAACTCTAAATGAATGAGTACGTTGTGATTTCGCCGAGTGAAAAAGAAAATTAGTTTCACTGTGCGGTCCATTTATTGTTGTGGCCGTCATTTCCAAGTTCTTTGCCAAAGTTTTTCACACCCAAAGAATTCCAAAGACCATCCAACTGTTGACAGGAAAAATTCAGCCAAATGCAGAGCTAACCTTTTAGCCGAGCATTGAATGCATTGAACTCCAACATCGAATCTGTCAGCCTTCGCTGTGAGTTTTGCCGATCCAAAATGGGGGGGTTACAAATTTTGCTCCCTACTGGGTTCAGTAGGTGAGCTCAGTGGAGACAAACTTTAACTTTCCAGTCCCTCCCTTCAATCATCTGCTAAAATCTAGCACACATGTGACCAGCCATAACCAGGGTAACCATTTACTTTCTTGAGGTAGAGAGAGGACCCTGGGAACAAGGTTGCAATAATTATCACTAGTTCAACCAAATGTATTGCTTATTAAATTAGCATTCTCTTATAGAGGAATTGCTTTCACAGCATTATTAATATAAACTTTTCAGCTTTCCTTTGTGTTCTCAACAGATGGACAGCAACATGCATTTGGATAGCGAACACGACGTATTTCTGGCTGTCATTTGTCTCTGCCGAAAATAACGTCTGAGAACCAGAGCCAGGAAACGATCTCTGTAACGCCAATCACAGTTTAGCTCAAGTAGCCCCAGAACTACTGCACAAGGTATTCGCTCCGAGGAGCACTCAAGTGTCATTCTGTCATGGAATCTGATTGGCTAAGGAGAATCAAAAGTCATTGCATCACAGAAATCGTTTCCTGGCTCGGGTTCACAGATGTTAACTTTCGGCAGGAGACAAGCGATAGCCGGAAATGTCTGCGTTCGCAGGCTATGAATCAAATTATGTCAACAATCATTTTGAGACTGAGAAAAACTTGAATTTTTAAAAATAAATCAATGAATTGGTTTTGTTCAATTCGAGATAAAGCAGTGGTTTCTTTATACTTAAATTATTTCCAAGACCAATTTTGTGTTTGGTTTAGTCTCACTTAACTGCTGACTGAGACTGCTCGAGTATTTTTTCTGAGTCATTTTCTAGTAAAGAAACAGCTTTTTCATTCTTCTTCCAGACTTTTGTACCTATTCAATGCCTCAACAAGACATTTTTTGTACCTTGTTTCTCCACAGTCGCATTAAAAAGTACCGGTACCTAGTATATAATTCTCAAAAATTTTTACGCGTGTAATCTAAAAAATAAATTTAGACTCAATGGCTCTTTAACCACGCAACTGTATAAAAAAACAGGTTTAAATGGCGTTTGATACTCTACAGGTAAAGCCATGGAAGGTTTATTGCGCATTACCGGTAATTAAGTTTTACAAAGATTATACGATCGGTCATCGATCAACCAGCGCATCATCAACATGGTGTGGGCGGGAAAGAGAGATTGGGGAGAGTAAAACATCACCAACAGCCTCATCTTAACAATGTGACATTTTATTCGTCTAGTAATTTGTAAATATGTTACAAATTACTTTAAACAAAATGACTTTAATGTTGGGGCGAAACGTAAAGTTGGGGCAAAGCTACTTTGAGTTGTGGCGAAACGACCTGGGGCAAAACAACCTGTTTCCCCTTTGAAATGATGACGTCATTCGTTCGTCTGTCCTCTGGTAGATCCTAAGGCCCGTTTTAAACGTCAAATTTCACATGTGCCGAATCTAATGCAAATGAGCGAAAACAATAGATTTTTCTCATCAGCATAAATTTAGATAATTTTGGCACATGTGAAATTCGACGTTTAAAACGGGTACAGGCCTAAGCAAGAACTAATCAAAATGCGAGAATAACTTGAGATAATATGTAATTTAGGGTACTCCATGGACTGGGGGTCAATGTTTCGTCCATCACCGTTTTGAGGCCTATGTCTTGTCAAAAATTTTACAAAGCAAAATTGAAAATATTCAAGGAAAGTGTATTCCATCGGCTTGTGAATTTGTTCACCGTGATATTTTTGTGTCTCATCGTGAGACCGTGGGATTGCCCTAAAAACCGTGTCTCACGGCAAAACTGTGAGACTTGAGAGCTCTGGTCACTCCTGAATTTAAATAAAAAAGTTAGGCGTATTAAACAAGGACGAAAGTGCCGAAACAAGCTAACGAAGGTCTTCTTGTTTACAGAACCTACAAAATTAGAAATTACGTTCGGAAACGATCTCGATCGCGGCTTCGTCGCTCACAATCGCAGCTTCGCTAAAAAATATCGCTCTGGCACCCAGGGTAGAATAAATCCATTTCTGCTATCAAAAAATAAGCTTAAGATTAATTTACCTCCAGCTGAGTACTCTAGTCAGTCTATTGCTTGGCCACTCCAAAATAACGACTTTTCCTTTATGTAAGGAGTGACAGTCCACCATAGATTCCCTCTTTACTTCTTCCCTGATTTATTTGTAACAGGAAATCAACCGCCATCAGGGTACAACAGTGTGAGAGCGTGTTACGCTCTCACACCGTTGCACCATGATGGCGGTTGATTTCCCCTTCGCAATGCTTGGTACAATAATAGAGCAAATCTTATCGGCTTAGATTAATAGCCAATTAATTCTTTCCTTAGTAAGCCCTGTCAATTTGGCGGGAAGACTGACATTCCCGCGCTCAAAAGAAAATCCACAATCTGATGGATACTTTCGGAAGAAAAAATAATCATCTTGCGTATAAAATGTCTAGAAAACCTTGGACGGATCATCTAGTGACACTCCAAACATTCACGAACAGATAAACCCTAGTTTCTGTATATAATTTGAACTCACCGCTGAGCGCGGTTGCCTGGTCCTGGTCATCCTACGCTGCATCTTACGTCGGATCGGCGAACTGAAACAAATTAAAACATGTTAAGCGGAGCTAAAACCAGCCATCTCCAAGTTATACCAGATTCTATATAGAGTAAAACAAATAAACAGATCGAAAACTCCATTTACTGCTAGGAAAACGCCTTAGATTTTTTCCATTTTTGCCAAGTACTATGTGCGTGGATCAACCTCCATATCAAAATTGTATTTACACGTCTATTATTTGCTAAATACATAAATACATATATGAACTTTATTTATCCTCGAATTAGTTTGCCGAAAGTCTGTTAAAAGAACGTGGAAGTGATACGATCGCGAAAACTATCCAACATAAAGGACATACCTGCATACCGCTCAGTTCACATTGGAGTGGTAGTGGAGTGACAACTTGTAGAACTAGAAGTTCAGTCCCCACAGTGCTCGTCCAACATCTCCCAGTCAATTAATTGTACGTGCTGCGGGAAGGCTTTATAGAGGGGTATCGAGGTATCACATGCTTATGCCTGACTGGCGAAAAAAAGAAAAAAACATTTGAGTAATCAAAACAGCAGCTCCTCACCTGTCAAAACATCCTCCCACGGAAGAGCCAAGGGGTAAACAAACTTCTCAGTTGACCGCGGCGTTGTCTAATTTCACACAGATCGCTACTCTGATAAATTCGTGGGATCATTTGATTGCGGGGACCAAAAGAATATAATAGCAGTCTCATTATCCTCATAGTGGGTAACTTTCTCTGCAGATTAGAGATAGTCATTCTCCGGCCGTATTTCATCCATAAATAGCGCACTCACAAAATAATCAATAATCAGCAACGATTCACTACATTCCATGACTATTCGGGAGCCCAGCTACATTTTAGGAAAGTTTACCGAATTTTAGTAGATATATTAGATTTTAGTAGAAACTCTAATGGATTGCAGTCCAAAATCTACAATGTTACATACTTTTGAGCCAGAAAGTGAATTGTATCCATCGGTGAGTAGAAAACTCATCATTTTCGCGGATTTCCATGATTGAGATTCTACGAATCGGACTCTGTACTTGTTGATCGTTTCATTATATTTTAACAGTGAGAGTCAGTCAAACAAAAGGGGACATTCGGTGTCTCTCTGTTTTAATGAGGCAGATTTACTGTTTTGTCAGATAGTCCAAAGTACAAACCTGGAAAACTCTGAGGACAGCTCTCCAACGTGCGAGGTTATTGTAGATTAAAAAAAACATGCTCTAAGGGAAAGTTCATTTAATATGACAAGGGGGGTGAAGATATTGAGGGGGCCTCCGAAAATTTTTAAGACACCCGAAGGGGGGCTCTGAAAAAACAGTTGGGCTAGGAGGGGGGGGCTCCAAAAATTTGTATACGTGAAAACCAACACATGACTTCATCATACAGATCGGATGGTTTTCAACTCAACAATTTAATGACCTGTGCAACTCAACTATATCACGTGGTTTACAGATGTAACAAATGTAGTCTCAGTAATTATTATACACTCTTGTTCATCCCAAAAATGCTTTAGAAAATTTCAAAAATTAGAAATGCTCACACTTTTTATAATAAAACCACATGCATGTACGGCTGACTTGCAAAAACAGTACAGCACATACATTGCAACTTGCAATGGACTGTTAGAGAAACTTGCAGAGTTGAAGTTGCCACCTGTGAAGCCAACATGGGCCGATTTCACAGATGCTGGTCCAGGAGTCGGCTGCAGTAACTTCGAGGTGAGATTCAGAGATGCAGAATTGGCACTAATTCATAATAGTGACCATCGCATTCTAGCTTACCCCTCCCGAGAGAACTCCGCTGACAACGAAGCTGAAAGAACTAACAGCGCTATCGGAGACAGTATTGTTGATGGCTCAACCATTCAGTGGGAGCAGTACAAGAAATTTGATGGCTTAAGTGATGAAGAAATTAGCACCCTTACTTTGAAAGAATATGAAGAGCACGAGAGGCAGAGGATGGAGAAAAACGCCGGCGCTGGCACTGTGCAGGAGAAATTTCCAAACGAACTGATGGTGCGCCAATATTTAATGAGTTCATTTAGTGCTTTGTAACAGAAAAGACGAACACGTTTTTCTTCAACAGGACGTACCTTACACAAAAGAAATCTGTTCCTGAATATCATTAAATTACCAAGATTACATGGAGTATGTGAGAGAAGGATGTCTGAAGAAAGATGAAATGCTGTGCAACAGGTACGGAAAGGCAGAGTGGGTTGGGCCAAAGTTTTCACGAATTCCTGCACCTTAGCCAGATCCGGACAATGCAGGTCACTACCATCCTATTTCCAAGACACCAAGAACGATCAATGGGAAGGCTAGAGCCATAGATGATCTTGCCCCTACGGCAAATACCAGAAAGTTGTTCAAGGATGGATCCATCTCATCAAGCAACTGTGAGTTCTGAAGAATTTTGTGTTGATTCAAAGCATACTAAATCTGACTTATCTAAGCTTTATAAATTTAATATTTAAGGGAAAGAATTGGCAACTAATCAAGATGTCAGCTTTCAACATTTCTTTCAAATATCTGCATCCTAACATTTTTGTGCCAGTTTTCATCACGCATGTCATTTACCGCTGGTTCCCGCAAGTAAACGTGTTATTCATAATAAATCAGTTGTTAACAAGGCTAGTTCGATTAAGATTACCCATAAAATTACGTAACATTCCTTGCTTTATCAAGTTTTACTTTAGAGGTTCTGCAGGATCTTTTTTCCCTAAGCGTGCATACATGTGTCAAACAATCAAATTAATATTTCATTTCCTACAGGGTTCGTGACTAGCCCTTTGAATAAAGGGGGTTCAGTAGTTTCTGAAGAAACTGTGGTGCTGCGTCGGTGGGTAAGTGAAACACGAAAATTGATTCGCTCTGACGAAGGGCTAACGCTCGAAACGTCAACTTTTCAATCTCTGTACGGTGGTCAATTTACATTTATCAACTCCGTTGATAAACCAAATTTTCGTGTAGCCCTTTGAATGACGATCTTTGCTTATTGAAAGCAGTGGCGGGCTGCCATTATCTAAAGCCTCTAACGACTCTAACCAGCCAAAACACAAAGAAACATTTTGACCCCGATATGCTCTTATCTCAGTATTGTGTGTAGTACCTGAACGATAATGGCAGCTGTTTAAGGGGACCAACGGCGAGCCAAGAGCTTTATCGTAACCATCGACAACGTATTTGCTCTTACTTGCAACTAAAGCCCTTCTCAAAAAGTTACTGAATGACAACACTATTCTATACCAAATTTGATAGTAATTTTTAACCAAACACAAGGTAAAATAAGTATTCCCTGGCTAGATTCTTATCCCGTCCACCAGCACGCAGCAGAAGAAACGAAAGATACTGATCACAGACCGTAAAAATTAAACAACCTTGCTGACTCATAATTAAAGTCTTCATAAACTCTACCCAGACAAACGAGGACTCATTTTGACCTTGATCTGCTCGGAAAGGGGGCAAAACAAAACTCTCTCCAAAGTTTAATTACTAACGAAAAATGGCCCTACACTTTCTAAAATGATTCAGCTAAGCGTGAAGAAGCCGAGAGTTCAGTAACAGATTTGCAGTCCTTGCTATTCTTAAAATTCTCGCAAATGATGGAATGATTAAATTCCTCGTGTAAATCTTTTACGTGATTCGCAGACACGATCTTCTTTGCCACTTTTTCTAGTGCAGAAACTCGACACTCTCAAAATTATAATGGTCCATCCCTTTGGGAAAAATTCAAAGAAGCCAAGGAAAAGGGATGTCTTTCAAAGAAATGCTCGTTCGAGTGAGACTTTTAAGGTCAGATATTTACATTGTATTTAAGAACTTATTAAAAAGTATGTTAGCACGAATTGTTTGAAAACGACTCTTAATTAACTCATGCTTTAGCATGACAGCAACTTTTTTAAATTAAGTCTTTCTTTCCCGCAAAATCCAAAGCCGAAATATGTCTCAACGTCACACGCAACAGGTCTTAGCGACAAAATAATATTTCATTGCGTGTTCATATGTACATATATTTTTATAGTTATTTATTCATTTATTTTTGCTTTGAAACTCCTTGTATAGTTATGCTGTTTTAGGAGTATATTAAGTAAAGATTAAAGATTAAAGGGCCGTGCTGGGATTTGTGTGATGTGACGCGCACGCGGAAGCTCCAGCAAGGAGTCCAAATTGGCGCGAAATTCCAAAATAACGCAATCATAAATGGCGGGAGTCCTAAAGGGTCGGAAATCTCAAACGGCCTGCACCAGCGAAAAGACGTTGGTGCAGCGTAGTTCATGCCAATTTCCCTATGAAACTCAGCGTTAACACAAGCTAAACAGTTCTTACTGAAAATACTGATTTTATATCTCACTTATTGTGTTCGCGTCCGTACAGACAATACGGGTGGCTGCTCTCTTCACAAACATGCTCATTAGCGTTCAGTTGTAAGTCTCGATTACAGACACAATGCATCTTCTACAAATGGCACAATCGCGTTCATCGAGCCGCATCTGAAGCGCACACTGGTAGCAATACCTGTGACCGCAAACTAGGGTCGCGTCTTTCGGTCGATCCATGCAGATGTCACACTTGCGGGAAATCTTTGGTAGTGTTCGGCTCGCTTCTGTATGGGTTAGCTCTATCTCGTGGTGCCCGTCAAACGAAATTCGTTCTTTTCATTAGTTTCTTCTTCCTGTTCTTCTGGATTGCAATTATCTCCGTCGTTGTCATCATAACTTTCTTCTTCCTGATTGTAATTATCTTCTTCGTTCTCTCCAGAAGTTTTTTCATTCTGTTCTTCTGGATTGTAATTATCTTCGTCGTTCTCGTCATACTCGCTAAACTGCGTGTATTCGCTATCTTGTATTTCTGCGAATAATCTATCGTTTTCAAGTTGATCCGCCGTAGCTTTGGATCTCTCGTCCGGACCTTTGATAGGCAGTCCTTGTTCAGGCGATCCAAGAGCTGGCCATTCTTCCTCCAAAGTATTCTTCGTTATAAGGTCGCTACGTAAGTCGACGAAAAATTTTTTAGGTTCTGGAGGTTTGTTTTTCGCTAAGACGGTTGCGTAAGAATTTGGTTGTCGCGGTTTAGGCTCTTCATTTGCTGGCTGAGGACTGGATGCTTTCTGCTTTGGCCGCTCAAGATATCTGTACGATGGGTGTCGAAGATTGCAACGATGTCTGCCATGAGAAATGGCCCAGGTCATGAAAGTACTGAAAGTAGGGCAGATGTCGGCTCGGATATCCATGTCCTCGCCGTTCTTGTCTCCCTCGACGTATTATTATTCTAATGCAAACACCTGAAAAAAAGAGTTAAATATTAATTCAGAGCAACATCGAAAAGATATGTCTATGGCATGACTCTTCGAGTCGGGAAACGGCCAACACAAGTTAATTCGAAAAACTTTTTCCCCCTATGTTCACCGTATCATATATTTGTCTTAGGTTTATTCAGCCTAATCAAGCATGTCTTACATTACGACGTTTGATCTCCTTCTTTCCTTTCGAGCAGGGGATGTCGGACTTTACGTTGTTCAGGAATAAGAAATAATCAGGTCGAAGTATTGGAAAAAGATTCCGTCAAATCTAATGGAGTTACTTCCCACCTTGCAAAATGTACATTTTCCCCGTTTTTTTTTTTTCGGTTAATAATTAAATGTAAAAATAGCTCAGTACAACGTTTTCTGTTAGCAACATGTAAGGGACTCGCGAATTATACATGTAAGTCCAAGGCTGATTATTTTTAACTGTCCCCATAACTAGCGCAGTAAAACACAATATGGTAAGACAGGAGCCGATCCTGGGTAAGATCGATATATCGTGCATGGCTGTATATGAGAACCAAATGATATATAATATACCGCATAGCCCAGAGTATTCGACCAACGGAGAGATCCATCTTATCTTCGTGCATGGGATAAAATCAAACTGACTCAATCAATTGCACAGGGCTGCAAGATAGAGGGCTTTGAAAATCCTCGTCGATTTTTGTATCTATTTGACAATTTAGTGTGACCGCAACCGTACAACTGATCATTACCTTCGTATTTTGCTGCTTCTCTGCCTCTACCTTCGATCTGATAAAAAATACTCCTATGAGCTTTCTTTTCAGGCAAAGCCGCCTCTGTTAAAACTATGATTTGCTATAACCAGTGTTATGATGCTAAAATGACAAGTTCTTTTGAATGGAAGTGGCGCGCGTGAAGTGGCGCGCAATGCGCCAGTGTCCCCATTAACATGGAAACCTCTAACGATTCTAACCAGCCAAAACGCAAGGAAAAAGTTTGACCCGATCTGCTCTCAGTATTGTGTGTGATACCTGTCTAAGGGGACCAAAGGCGAGCTGATCGTGGTTGATAGCACGAAGGGTAAACACTATCGATGCCCCCATAAACAACGTTTTTTCAATCGTCTTTCGCTCCTTACTCAAACCTCACATACCAAAATATCTGCAATTGCTCGATGTCCTAACTTTTTCGTACCAGCTATTATCACCGAACTGGTAAAATCAACTCTCTAACTAGACGCAATCAAGCGATATGCTTTAAACATGTTACTGTATTCTCTCATTCTCCGGCTGATAAATCTATGATTTTCTATAACCATAGGCTTGATTTCCTCCCCTCTCTCGTGTCCGGTCTACGTTCCTGAGTTCGGGGGAGGAGAGCGGGCTCCTTTCCCGAAAAAAACCACTATAAACAGTGTTATGATGCATTACGGTCTCACTATCGACCCAAAAGTCTGAGCCGTTAGGTAAAACACAGTAGCAAAAATTAGTTGATATGCACAGATGCACACATCTCACAACATAATTTGCTCAATATTTAATTTCTAACCTCCGTGACAAGTCTTTTGAATGGCGATCCCAAAACTGACGTCCGACAATTCTTGCTAGGCTTTTTGCCGTGAAGTCGCGCTCAATGTGCCAGTGTCAACATTAATTACACGGAACCTCTAACGATTCTAACACGCCGAGCCGCAAGGAAAAAGTCTGACCCGATCTGCTCAGTATTTTGTGTAATGCCTCGGCTGTCTAAGGGGACCGATGGCGAGCTGATCGAGGTTGATAGCACGAAGGGTAAACACTGTCGATGTTCTCATAAACAACGTCTTTTCATTTGTCTTTCACTCCTTACTCAAACGGCACATACCAAAATATCTGCAATTTCTAATGTCCTAACTTTATCGCGCCAGTTTTTAACACCGAATTGGTCAAATCACCTTAGAGGCAATCGAGCGATATGCTTTGAACATTTTATTGTATTCTTGCATTCTCTGTTAAATCTTACCCCGGCACAAAAAACTCTGAGCCGCTAGGTAAACCACAGTAGTTGAAATTACTTAATTTCTAACCTCCGTGACAAATCTTTGAATGGCGATCCCAAAACTGACGCCCGACAATTTTTGCCGTGAGGAGGGGTGCGCAATGTGCCAGTGTCCCCATTAACATGAAAACCTCTAACGATTCTATTCTAACCAGCCAAAACGCAAGGAAAAAGTTTGACCCGATCTGCGCTTATCTTAGCATTCAACGGTGTGTGATACCTGTCTACGGGGACCAAAGGCGAGCTGATCGAGGTTGATAGCAAGAAGGGTAAACACTCTCGATGTCTTCATAAACAACGTCTTTTCAATCGTCTTTCACTCCTTACTCAAACCTCACATACCAAAATATCTGCAATTTCTAATGTCCTAACTTTTTGTGCTAGTTTTTAACCACCTTAGAGGCAATCGAGCGATATGTTTTGAACATTTTATCGTATTCTTGCATTCTCTGTTAAATCTTACCCTCGCACAAAAGCTCTGAGCCGCTAGGTAAACCACAGTAGTTGAAATTACTTCATATGTATAGATGTGCACATCTCATTTTAAGATAATTTGCTCAATATTTAATTTCTAACCTCCGTGACAAATCCTTTGAATGGCGATCCCAAAACACAGGCGCCCCAAGGTCACTACACGTGACTCTCGTAGTTACTAAAACATGGAACGACCTAAAACCACCTAAAACCATCTACAACCACCTAAAACCACCTACAACCACCTCAAAAACATCTACAACCACTCGCAAACAATCTAAAACCATCTGAAACGAGGTATAAATGTCTGAAATAAGGCGAGACGACAACATGTCATGAACACGAAATACGAGAATCGAACAAAACATCCACTTCCCCCTAAAATCTTACTCTCCCTGGTCCCTTGTATCATCAACCATTGGCTTAAGTCACGAAATGAAATGCAAGATCATGCTAAGTGTATTAAAAGACTTAAAGAACTTTACAAAATGAACTGTCAAGTCACAAAAAATAATAAAATAAAATAACAAACTCGTAGTCGAAAGACTGACTTGATTTGGCTTTTTCTACCCTGGGTACCAGTGAGACGTTTTGGTTCACGTTCCATTTGTTTACGCAAATTGGCACAAGGCAGGGTTTCTCTCTCTCTCGGAGTCTGCTTCACTGCTGTTTTGTTCTGAGGTGGCGGATTTCATTCCTAAGAACAAGTTAATTTTTTTAGCATTTCATCCGCCAAACATGTTTGTACATTCCAGGTGACTCCTTTAGATGAACCGTAGTGTCTTTCACACCCGTTTCCTGTGTCATCACGCAAGGCTAAACTCCCTTGCGTCACGACACAGGAAACGGAGACTAGTAGGTGTAATCATTGTTAAAAATGTTATTTTAAAAAATCTATAATGCAATGGATTCAGAAGAAAACAAGTTAAGACGAGACGAAATTAATAAAAATGGGTTGAAAATTTTAATAGTGAATGATTATATTTAAAGTAATTTATCTGGATTTTTATATACCTTTATTATGTTTTGGAACCCAACTTTCACCCCGGCCCTCTTCTTGGGAGTGATGGGATATGCACGCTTCTTATTTTCGCTTTGCTTGTTGTAAATACGTCCCCACTATACTATCTGAGAGCCTGGCACAGGCTAGAGTAGCTGGAACTTTACGAGCTAAAACGGAACGAAAAATTTGGATCACATATTCGGGTCTTCCCTCCCCGCCAAGGGACGTTACTGGTAAGAACATTTTGATTCATTTTGCTGAAAAGAATTATCAAATATCATTATATAAGGTTTTCTAATTCTAAAGGATTCTGCGGGACTACATACATGTGTGAAACTATTTCAGACATTTATACCCTGTTTTAGATGATTTTAGATTGTTTGCGAGTGGTTGTAGATGTTTTTGAGGTGGTTGTAGATGGTTGTAGGTGGTTGTTGAATTTTTTGAGGTGGTTGTAGGTGGTTTTAGGTGGTTGTAGATGGTTTTAGGTGGTTTTAGGTGGTTTTAGGTCGTTCCATGTTTTAGTAACTACGCAGTTAAAACAGATGTCATGTTTAAGTAGCTCATGTCGGTCTGTAAACAAACACCTAGGAAGAATGTTCAGCTAGTTAATCGGCCTAGTGAAAACACAACCTCTGTTTTGTAAATTTTCTGTGAGGTTGAATTTGATTAATAATCTCAAGTCTTTACAAAACATAGGCAGTGAAAAGTATTTTCGTAGAAGGTGAATTGACAGATACGTGGTTAGCAACAAAAGCCTACCTCCTTAAACCTTCTCCCGGGATGTTGGCCATATTGCTTTAGGGCTCCTGCCATAGCTCTTTTTTGCACTCTAATTTGCTGGGGGGAATCTTCTTTGCTTCTGTGCGAACTGTGGAGGAGAGAGAGTCCCAACCTTGAAATCATCTGGCATCCTTATACTCGCAGGACACAAAATCGCTCTCTTTTATAGAGTCCAACGCACATTTGAGGACCCACGAAGATCTATGAAATCTAAGAATATGCTTTTGAACATTTTTGAGAAATCTTTGAGACATTTGAAGTTGAATGAAAAGAGACTGAAAGAGATGATCACTGAATGAGGTGCCAGGTAATCGCATTCATCGGTAGAGTTTATCACATATTTCAAGGTTATTGAAACCAAAGCTTACCTTTTCACGTATGAACATTGTCCAAAAGCATTTGGAAAAAAGCACCGGCGAAAAAACGTTGATGTCTCTCCAAAATGAGTTTTGTGCGAAAATGGGTATCCAATTACTGGCAAGTCATTCATGCTTCTTGGTGGACTCCGCTCGAGTTATTCGAAAGCAATTTATAGAAGGAGGTGGAAGTATTGGCGGCAGGATACGTTTTCTTCACATAACCTTCATCCATGCGCGTAGGTTTAGAGCAAAATTTAACCTGTAACATGTACTTTGCGGATTTGTCGTGCAATCTTTCTTCCCGGAAAAGTGCCAATGAAGATTCTCTTCACGCGATGCTAGTGTAGGCATGCGGCCCTTCTAGTGTGTTCAGGGGCACCCAACGACAATTTTCGGAAAAATATCTGTTCGGAAGACGATTTGAGATCTAGAATTTTCAGAAAATTTGTTGTAAAATTTGTTACTTGCCAGCCTCTCCAAGGATTTTCGGACATCTAAAAAATGGTATAATTGCCTATTTTTAACGGGTTTTACCCTAAAAAGATCACCTAGAATTTTCGGGAGCCCTTTTTCTGGCAAAAATTTTCGAAAAGGTAAGTTTTGATCCCTATAATTTTCGGATCACTTAACTTTCAGCTAGGAAATCCGAACAGATGAAAAATTTTTAGGGGATAAAAATATGCCTATATCTACCGTTTAAATACTAAAATACGTTTAACAATGCTATGTTTAAGTGGTTTTCAACTATATTCTCGTTGGGTGCCCCTGGTGTGTTGACTTTTAATATCAGAAACCGCCATTCAGGAAGGAAAATCACAGGTTTGTGACCTTTACTGAGAATTAACTCGAAGACGTCCTCCTCTTTAAGGTTATCAACAGAGACGCTATTATCGCGCAACCAGGACAAGACATGTTTCCAAAAACTAGATGATACTCTACAGGAAAAGAGTAAATGCTCTACGGATTCAACCTCTGTTTGGCAGAAAGCACAGGATGGCGACTCAGCCAAGCCGAAACGAAACAGTTTTTCGTTTGTAAAGACAATACGGTTTAAAATTTTAAACTGAAATTCTCTAAGTTTAGATTCTAATGTTGTGCGAAAAGATAGCGAATAAACACTTTTCCAATCAATATCAATGTTTGAATACTTTGCAGCTAACTTTACTTTAGCAGTAGGCGTTGTTTGTTTTTTCTCCAGGAAAAGCCGGTAGATTTGCTTTGAGGAAGCATCAAGAATTGGAACCAAATTGTTACTTATTAGGATAGCAGGTGAATCCGGAAGTGGATCAATCACCGGTGCAGTAGTTGCCCTTTTAATTGTCGAGCGCCAACTGGCAGGCATAGAGTTAATAATACCCATAATGAAGAAACCTTGCTCTGGATTGAGATTTTCTTTAGTTGAAAATAAATCGCAAATTTTTAAAAACCCTAAATCAGCAATATCTCTACGATACACAGATTTCTTATTAATGCAGAGAAGCTTGTTATTCCAAGTAACTTCATTTGCAATTTCATGTAGCAAGCTGGGTGTTTTTGCATTTACTTCTGACCACGCATCGAGACATTGCTTGTAGAAACTTGGTAGATAAATTCTTAATTTAGAAGTATCAAAATTACAATGCAATATGAGCTTCCCACCAACGGGGATAAGAATCTCATTTAAAAAAGCTTTCCACGGACTTTTATAGTCTTCCAAATATTTTTTCATACATATCACTCGTCTGGTACGAACCATAGAATCAATATCGAGCATATTTAAGCCACCCTTCTCAACTTCCGAAATCATTACATTTCGTTTTACTTTATCTATCCCATTCCAAATAAAATAGTAAAAAAGCGAGTCGGCCTCTTTGATAAGGTCTTTAGAAATTGGCAACACCGACGCTCTAAACATAAACTTAGGGATGGCAAAGGTTTTTACAATTTGTATTCTACCTAAGAGAGAAAGACCACGCCATTTCCACAAATTGATCGTCTTCTTAAGTGATTTCAAAGTATTACTAAAATTCAATTCATCTCTTTGTTTAACGTCATAGCCAAAGTAGACGCCTAGAATTTTAATAGTGTCACAAAGATTAGGCATATCAGAATACCCCTCCCAAAGAGAACTACTATTTCCTAAAGCTAAGGCTTCGGTTTTTTCATTATTTATTTTTAAACCAGAACATTCACCAAAAGTATTCAGCGCGTAACGAATAGGTTGGTATAAGAACTACTATCTTTGATAAAGCAGGTCATGTCATCAGCGAAAGGAGGACGTCATTTTTGGTAAGTTCGATATTGCAGAAGATTTTCTCATGTTTAACCATATGTTGCT